TTCTTTATGGCCAGTTTTTGTTGGGGTTGGTTGTGTAATTTATGACTTTTCAATGAAGGCACGTGTCAAGGAAAATACTCACACTTTCACAGGCAGGCCGGTCTTTGGGCGTTTACTCAAAAGTTATTGATTGCATTTTTGGGAAATTTTGTAGACTATAAGTATTTCAGTAAGATATATAGCTTCTCCATACTAAGGCCTCTTTGCTATATGAGGCATTTTTTAGGCAGCTCAATCTTTAATTATGATTTAACATTTATTCGTAAGATTTTTCTAGTTATAGAGTTATATATGGCTATTTATTCTGACCAAGAATATATATACTTTATGGGGTCGGAGATGCTTCCTTCTAACAAACATTTGAGACAGAGTCTGGTCCAAAGTATACTTTACTTTGGGCCGAAATATAGCGTTTATCTAACCATATTTTGGCTAGAAAGCCATAGCCTTCCAAAAGGTAAGAAGCTGACTTGAAATATAGTATATATATTCTTGAACATCCGAAACAACCTAGTCTATATGTCCATGTCTAGTTTCTGTGCAAACTAGTCTCTCATTCTAAAAGTAGCTCATAGAAACTGGTCTGCCGGATTAAAGCATTATATCATTGATTGGAAATTGAGACAATGCACAGTTGGCTAGGTAAAAGAAAAACCAATTATAATGAGATTGTAAGGATATCTTCGACACGCCGAAGATTTTAATACCCTTGTAGACACGCGTGTTTCTGATTTATTGAACGGTAAAGGTAAAGTTAACAGATCTCACCTGGCAAAAGTATTTAATTAAATTTTAGTTTAACTCAATTTTTAAAAAAAAAACTTCTTCTGAATGTTTTATGCTTGCGTGTACATTTTCAAGTTTAACAAATATTTTGGCTCTGGAAGCAGATAAAATCGAAAAAATGCTCAAGGCTGTCATTGAAAGCGTGCAAGCAGGTCTTGAAAGCTAATAGATATGTACGTGTGTGTGTGTGTGAGGGAGAGTGTGTGTGTGAAGTATCTGCGCAAATACATTTCAGTTTTGCTGTTGCTTTCCGTTATTGATGCGCTGCTGCTGTTTGTCATCCACAGCCAGAAGATAAAAATAAAAGTCTGCAATGGCCAAAAGGGCAAGGGGGGCGGCGGGGCGGAGGGGAACGGTGTTGGGCCAGTTGGTCATCGTCTGATTGTTTGTATCGCCCCCTTTTTTTTACTTATTTAATATAAACTCGACACACACACACACACACAGACATCTTTATATACGCACACACGCACAGTCATAAGCGGCTTACGCACTTCATGCCACGTCTGTGTGTGTGTGTGCGTGTGAGTGTGTGTGTCCGTGTGATAGTGCATGAAATTTATTGGCGCATTGGGGGCGCCACACTTTCGAGTTTTTGTGGCGCACTAGTGTGGGTGCGCGGGGTTAGAGAGCGGAGGCGGGGGCGGGGCGGGACCGTATCTTAGGCTGTTGCTGTCAAGTTGCGTCGCTTATTTTGTTTTGGGGCCCAGTGCGAGGCTTTTATAATTTTATGCCATTTCTTTCAATATTTATTTTGTTATTATGTTTTTGTAATGAGTCCTTGTTGCTGTTGTTGTTGTCAACAGCAGCGTACAACAGCAACAACGTCGACGAAATTAGGACAAAACTGTTGGATGATGACGTTCAAATTGGAAAAAATTGTATACATAGATTGTAGCCCGTGTGTGTGTGTGTGTGTGTGCGCGCCTGTATTGCCGCCTCTGCGTGTGTGTGTGTGTGTGTATTGCCATGGAAAATTCCGACTGGCACATAAATTAATTAATTTTGTTTTTGCCATTGGCTTTAGCATTTTGTTTTTTTCTGTTACGCTCACGATTTTTCTATCGAAATTTTATTGCTGGCATTGAAATTGGAACTACTTACGAGCGAGTGCTGTAACAGGAGAAGAGAGCGGGAAGCGGAGGAGGAGAGCGGAGGGGGGGGGAACCCCTGTTTGTTACAGTCAAAACTTGTGTTTAGTTTTTATTGATTTTGTGTGCTCATAAATTGAGCCTAGACTAGGTTTTACAATACAAAATCAAGTGTAACAAAAAGTATTGCATACTTTTCAGCTGCTGCTCAGGCGGCTGCTTGCCACGCACACAGACGCACACGTGTGTGCTGTTTGCTGTTGCCAACTTGTACTTTGTGTATTTAGTTGTCAGTATATATGTTTAGATATAGGCTATTTATATTTTTGTCAATTTTGTCTGACTCCAGTGCATATTTGTGGCAGCTTCTTGAGCATTTGATTTTCACAGGACTATTTCTCTGTAGATATGCTGCATACTATATCTGTGTAGTTGCGATTGATTTGCGCACATTTTAATTAATTGAAGCTTATATTTATGACTATAAATAATTTACCAGTGGCCCAGGCGCTCAACTTTAATTTGAAAAGCGATAAATAAGCAAGGCAGCCGCATGCGAGCTGCTATAGCAAAAACTACAATAAGTACGCACACACATATATGGACACACACATGCATGCCGTAAAATAAAACACAAATGAAAGTGAAAAGAAAGTAAGGAAAGCATCTACAACAACAACAACTGCGAAAAGTGCTGAACGCAGAAAAGTACAAATTGCCCACAAAATATAAAAGCGAAGGCCCAAAGGAAACCTAAGACCTCACTCCGAGTCCTTAAACTCCAGCCCCCAGTGCTCGAGCGAAAGCCAACCAGAAGGAGGAAAAAAAGTTCAATTTACTACTTTTCACTTTAGCATCCGCCGCGTCGCCCGCTGCCTAATACGAGACACACGCACCCAAAAGGCAACAACAGCAACAACAACATCGACGCCAACTACTTCTATGGACACCCTCATCTCTGAGGGCGACGGCGTCATGCGCCTGAAATTGGAGAAGCTGCCTTAGAGCAGCAACAGCAGCAGCAGCTGGAGAAGTAACACAGCATCCTTGGGCACATTCTCGCACTGGAACTCCGCCCCCTACTCCCCTCGCACCGAAAAGTTTCTGCCTTTTGCCTTTGCGTTAAATTTTTCTTTTTATTTTGGAATTTTTCGATAGCCGCACCGTATCGCTCACACACGCACACACACACATGATTGTGTACGCACGGCTGTGGCTAGCTCATGCACAAGCACTCACTCACACACACGCACACACAAACACACACACACACATACTCATGCATAAGTGGAGGCGAGCACAAGCTACTCATTATGCTCAGCATCAGAAAGTGAGCTGGGCACATTAGCGCTATGGTAGCTTATGTGACACGATCATGGAAACGAATAGGGTTGTGTATTAAGTTATTGATAGTATAACTTATAGAATATATATAGGTATTTAAAAAAGAAATGAGAAATGAAAACGTGTGACGTTCTAAAGAAAGTAGGTTAAGAAACATTACTCCTATTGCCTAAAATATCTAAAGAGGGCATAATTCATATAAGTAAATATATATAAATAATACATATAAATATATATAATTAAAAAAATATATATATATTGGTTAACTTACTCGTAAAAACGGGTCCTTTAAATGCTTGACTACAAACAGCATGCACATCTTTTATATCCTACAAAGGAAATTGCACAAAAGTGTGCTGGAAAAAGTTATATACTAAAATATCAAAGGATACTCTTTCAATACTATATATGAATATATATATATAAATAAAGAAAAATAATAAATATTCATAATTTGGGCCTCAAATTTGTCTATCCATATTTTGGTAGATGCCAAATTTGAACAGTGATCAAATTTAGCCCGCATTTTGTATATGAAAATATTTACGAGTTGCAATATTTTCAGCACAACGGGCAATTGTTGCTTAAAAACTGAATTGTTATATTAAATACGAATATGCCAAGAATCGTAAATCGAAGCAAGTAAATACATTTTCTGAGTACGATTTCTCTATATCTTCCTTTGCATTTTAGGGTAACTAATAGTCGACTGCAAACTTCTCGCATGCTAGCTTCGTTTTCTTTAAGGTCAAGTCAGAATAAAATAAAATGAAAGTTTTCTACTTCTCCTACTTTTTTTTTTTCGTTATTTTGATGAAAATTACAATTTTCCTCTTATTTTTCTCTTAACTTTCATAGAAAATGTGCTGCCATCTTGTTGCTTGCTTCCTGCCTACTTTTTCTTCTGCTCCGCATGCCTCTCCCCCCCTTTCCTCTCCCTCCCTCCTTTACCTAAGCTGCTGCTGCGTAACCATACATGTAGATAGGCTTTTGCGTGTGTGTGCACTAGTGTGTGTGTGTGTGTTGCTCGGGGCAGTTTTCTGCTTGGCTTTGGCCTACACTCATCAACGCCCTACCCACTGTGTGTGTGTGTGTGCGTGTGTGTGTATCCAATTGAAGGGGAAAACAGAGAAAAAAATCTCAAAACGCAACAAACTGAACAAAATCCCAGTTTAGTTTGATGGCTTTGGTTCGGTTTCTCGTGCGTTTGGTTAGCTGCCAAAGCAGATTGGAAAGTGAAAGCTGTGCCCAGCCGTACTTAATAAAATGCTGACGCTTCTGCTTCTTCTGCTATCTACCTGTAATCATATTCCGAATGCAATGCCATACATACATAGCTGAGATTGAAAGTATTATAAGAAATGTATATTGAGCAGACTGAAGTAGGAGTGAGGCAATGTCAAGCCGAAGACTTTAGATATAGGCGGCATATAAGGGACGGGGAATATGTAATATATCTCGAACAGGCGTAAGTTACCCCATGGTTACCTTTAGCAACAGCAAAAGTTAGGGTATCTTGTGTAACAAGCTAAGTTTTCGTTATCAAATATATTTCTATCTATTAATCAATTTCTTATACCCGTTTTGTAATTCTCAATTGGTTTAAAGAAAAAGCAGCTTTAAAGAAAAAGCTAGCTTGAACTAGTATACGATTGTGGGTTGGGCTTAGCTTTAAATAGCTATAGATTTATTTATATCTCTGTTTATCTGTCTTTAAATTGAAAAGCTTTTCGATTCATCAGCTAAATGGCTTTTTAAAATCGTTCAAAAGTTAAAAAAAACCCAAAAAAATTTGTATTTATTTATTTTTTTTTTTAATGAAATTTTTATTTCATAAAAAGTGAAAGAGACAACGGGAAGATGAACAGCTTGGGTCAGCTGAAGCGTTGCCTGCAGCGCCGCTATCGAACTGTGGCCTCAGCCATTCTATTTGTTGCGCTGCTCACGTTCTTCCTGGAGCAGAGCTACGTGGGCCAGCAGCGGGATCTGCTGTACTGGCGGGAAATGGTGCTGCACATCAGCCATCGGCCGTGCCTCTTGTGCTTTCTGACCGCCACGGTGCTCTGCCCGCTGCTGATAATGTTGCTGATCCAACAGCGCCTGATCCTGCGCATAGAGTACACGGTGGCCAAGCTGATGCGCCTGTATCGTCGGCGCAAGTTTGCCGACTTCATTGTGCGCCGGCTGCTCCTGCAGCTGGAGCTGGCCATGCTGCGCATGCCAGGGCAACTGGAGGCGCAGCAGCTGCTCGACGATCCGACAACAAGGCGACGCTATCAGCTGGCCAGCGATGCTGCCCATCGGGCGGTGGACATCTTCAGGCGTGACGCGGCCGCTCTGCTGTTCCAGCGCTATCGACTGTACCCCGAGGACACCACCTATGTGCTGCGGGAGGAGGAGCTGGTTCTGCTGCACGGCGGCTATGGCCAGATTGAGTTGCACGTCAACAGCCAGGTGCTGCGGCGTCTGCTCTATCCGCAGGGCAAGAGCCTGGCATAGTTTATACAAAATTTCTTGTTTGTCGCGTTTTCATTTCTCTTCTAATCTATATACATATATATACTCTATAAAACTCATTAGTGCAACTTTAGCAGCTCCGTCCGCAACCCCCCGGCTCCTGCTGCTTCGCGCTTTGCCCCGCTTAGTGCGTGTCATTCGCGTCATTTATTTAAATTGCCACATTTCGGACTTAATGTGCTTATGCCGCCGAAATAAAACCTTAAATTTCCACCCTCTGTGGAAAATGAATAAAAACGTAAAGGTAAGAAGGTGAGGCACGCCGTAGATTGAATACCCTTTTTGACATTAGCCTTACGATTAAGCAGTTATGAGAAAAAAGTGAAGCTCGTAAATGCTGAGTTTTTTTAAAATATCTTGGATAACAGAACACCTTTCGACCGATCATTCCTATTGCAGCTGTATGATATAGTGGTCCAATCCGACATATGTACTGCCTGCTACATAAAGACGGCCTGCAAAGTCTCCAGACGATAACTTTAAAACTGGGAGACCTGTTCGCATAGAAACTGACGGACTGACCCATGGACGGATAGATATATATATACCGATACGTCGGTTGATGCTGATTCAGAAGATTTATACTCAATGAGCTGGGAGATGTCTCCTTCCATGCGTTACACATTGCCTGACAAAACTAGCATACCGTCCACAAGGGTATACAAAAGTAACTAAAATATATTTTTTCTCGAACCAAAAATCCATAATAAGTTAAATTATTAAAGTTTGTTGTTGTTGTTGTTATTGTTGTTGCTGTTCTTGTTGTTGTTGTTGTTGGCTGCCTGGCGTGCTCTGTGGGTTTTTGACACGACGACCTAAGGACTGGCGCGCATTTGCGGCGCGACGAACCAATCTAATTGCACTTATAGAATGTTAGATACCCTGTACTAGTGCTTAGAAGTGATGTGCTGCGCTTTCTGGCAGTTACTAATTGCAATATTATTCATATTATTTTATTATTATTGCTAATATTATTATATTATAAGCTGAAAAAGCCTGGGCTAAGATAGAAATAGATTCAAACTCTTAAGAGGTTCGAACTCGCACACCCATTGTTTTGTTCCCTAAATTAGGCAACTTTTTAGATAACTCATAATGACAATGTACCATACTTAACCTCTGCAAGGGTTATTCACACGCCAGTCTGGGCATCGAGCCAGCATCTTCTTTTTAGTTGGTTAACTCCAACAATTTATCTTCCGAGAATTGTAGGATACATAAAAACCTCGCTAAACTTTGGGTTCTAAAAGTACTGTCTGGACTGGTGCTCTGCATTCACACACTTAAAATTCGAACCAGCAGCTTCTTTTTCAGCTGGTTTAGTTGTCTAATATATTTACTGGGCATTGCAAAGTAGCACAATTTTCTTCTAAATTTGTGTAAGACCCAATTCTTACCAATTAACAAACGCACCTACAAGTCATGCATACCCAATGGCCAGTTGCGTACAGGGCACAGGAGCGACGACATTCGAAAATGGTGCCAAAGCATATGGTGACAAAATTGTTGTCGTTGTTTGTGTTCGGCGCCGCTTGTCGCCTGCCTCCGCCTGCACAATTTAATTGAGAGTCCAAATTATATACACAAACATACAAAAACATGGAGTATATAGAGCATATTTGATTGGGTCTCGACGCCGCAGCACTTATGTATTTTCGGCTGTTTTCTGTATAATTTGTTGGCTCTGACTGCGTGTGTGATTGTAAAATCGATTAAAAACTAATTTTCAAGTTGTATTTTATGGTGTTCCCTTCCATTTTGTTTTTTTCTGGCTTAATGACCAGCTCTGTCACAAGAGGTTTTTATCAATTGACGGTCTCTGGCCAAGGCGGCACTTAGCCTGGCCAGCTCATTATGAGCACATCCCTGGAGTAAAGATAGCCCAAGTGTTGATGGAGCCAAGCAATAAGCAGAACAAACAAATAAACAAACTGAGAAACAAGTTGAGTGACGCCCTTCGAATCTTTCTGTTTCTACATATTACAGATTACATATTTCTGCCAAGTATTTGGCAAAATTATATACGAACAGCCTTTCAAGTGAGAAAAGTTTTTCCTTTCTTTTTGCCAGGAGGGGGGGGGGGGGGGGGGGGGGGAGGTCAGCAGGAAGCACCCATCAACATCTATGGAACTGTCAGGCACACACGCGCCGGCCGGGCCACACCCGCCCCCCGCGCCTGAGGCTGGCTGGAATTCCTTTTCCGGCAAAATGTTTCCCAATCTGCCGGCGCATTCTTTTATAAAAATTATTGATAAGAACATCCTCACATGTAATACAAATATTGACATACTCTGATTTTGGCCAAAGCATACCACTGGGGTGGCAGTCAGCATGTGTGGTGGGTGGTGGAAAATTTCCCATTTCCCAGCTCCCATTTCCCATTTCCCAGTTACAAGTTGAGGCTGATGCGACTGCTCCGATCTGAAAGCAAATGTCAAGACTGCAAAAGTTGCTCAGCACCAGACTGAAGCGTGGCTGTCTCTTGGCCAAATCGGCTTAGAAGTTTTCACAAGCTAAAGTGACGCGGAAAATCAAAGGAAAACCAAGCAGACTGTAATAAGCAGAGATGATGACACGTTCGAGGGTTTCTTCTGGTGCGCTTAAAAGGAATACATTTCGTTGTTTTTTTTTTTTTTTTTTGTTATATTTAATGGTTTAAATTCATACAATATATATATGTATATGGTTGTATATATATTTAATATAATCATTAAAACACATACAATTTTTGATAAATGCTCGCTTACAATCGAATGACAAAAGGAGTGAGGGGAGGGGAAACGGGGAAAGGGCTAGGTTGGAGATAATGGGTGTCTTTTGTTGTTGTTTTTGCAGTTTTGTTGCTTTTGATTCTGGCTCTTGATCATAAATGTTTCTTGCACATATTTATATATATATATATATATATATATAAATAATATATATATATAAATAATTACTTTTAAGTTTTTGGGTTGTTTTTTTTTTTAGATTTTCACACATAGTTTTACATAATAACAAAGTTTTTTTTTTTTTTTCGAAGAGTAAAATGTTAAATATAATATATATTTAAATATAATATATTTTTGTATGTATATTTGCCAATTGCAAAATAAAGTGTTCTTTGATTTCTCATATTTAATATAATTTTGATTTTCGCTCGTGTTTTTCTTTCTCGCTTTTTTGATTTCATGCTCGTCTCTAACTTAATTCAACATCTTTTTTTAATAATTAATTTTCAATGCAATTTTGAATTTTGCTTAAAACTAAATTTTATTAAAAATTTTGATTTTGATCTCGTTTTTGTGTTGTGTTTTTTCTTAAGTCTAATAAAATGTTGGTTTTTATTTTTGATTTTCTCTCCAGCTCTGCAGAACTTTTTGTAACTGCGGCCAAAAATTTTGATTTATGCTCATTTAAAAGGTACGTTGCAAGTTCTTTGTAAAATTGTTTACTTAACCATTTACACATATAAGCATGTATATATACTTATATATATATATAGTACTATATATATTCTCTTTTAATTTCTTTGTCAATTTTGATTTGTGCGCTCTATAACAGAAATTGTTGTTGATTAATGTAATTCTACGAAATGAAATCAATAAATAGATAAATGCGCTCAAGCCCAGGCGAAATGTGCGCTACGTATATATATATATATATATATGGAAAATTGGAAATCGGGCGAATTGTAATAATGTCATTTTATTTAATGGCCGAAACGCTTCAATTTGCATAAAGAATTTGGCAAATGGTGCAGAATATTTTGTGCTAAAATCATATTGCATAATCGCCGGGTGTAGAGGGGGGTGGGTGGGGGTTGGTTGCTGCATGAAACACCCCGTGGAAAACGTCACGAGAGCCGTCGCGATGTCAAGTAAATTGCATTTTTCATTTTTCACATATACTCACATTTATATTGCATATTGCATTTCCTGCAGCACACACACACACACACACTCACATATTTTTTTAAACATGCAAATTGTGGCAGCAGCCCGGACGGGGCGACGGGGAGAGCAGCGGGTCGCCGGGACAACTTTTTGGCAATTGTTTGCCGTAAAAATTGTTGGCCCAGGATTACGAGCACAATGCCAAATGCCCAGTCCATTATAAATTGCCATAAAAATTCAATAGAAAATATATAGAAAACGCGCAGGCAGCACACAATTTGCATGGCCAGTGGGAAAGGCGGAGGGTGCACAATTGCCTGCCGTGCCTCGAGGGTTGCAGCCAGGGACAACAAATAAATTACATACATATGTATATATATATATCTGTGGAAAGTGTACTCAATAGTTGTAGCTGTAGAGAGTATCGAATGTCCTGTGCGTAATCAATGAGATGAAATTTGCATGGACACGTGACAAATAATTAACGAAGAAGGCCGCGAGTTTTGGCGAGGGTTGATTGCCGGACAGCGCCCACTGTGCGCAGTACACTCAGCGAAAAAAACTAGTTAGTTATCAATTTAACTAAATATTGCCCAGCTCTGAGACTTGTTAAATTTTGTCGAGGCATTTCGCATAGACATTTCATATTTATGCTCGCAATTAATTGCGTTTTTGTAGCTGATTTCGATGAGTGTACGCACATTTTTAATCAATTGCTCTGCCGCTTGTAGCAGCAGCTGCACAATTTGAATTTTCCATGGAAAATGCGCCGCTTGACCCACACAACGGCTGCATTTGACCGTGTGCTAAGTTTTTCCCTTTGCCTCTCTATTATGTTTTATTTTTTTGGTTATCGCATTTCTTGTTTTTGGTTTTTTACTAATCATTCGGAGGGTATTTTTTTTTTTCGTATTTTATTTTAAGCAAATAGCCTAATCAGCGTCTGCGTGGGGGTTGAGCCGGAAGCGAGGCGCACACAAACACACACACACGCACGTTTTTTATGAGGGTGCCTGTGTGTGGCATGGATAACATAACTCGAGAAACGGCTGCTGCAGGCAAATTGTGTGGAGTGTATTTAAAAAAGAAGAAGATATTAACATATATACATTTTCAACTGGGCATTGTTGACAAATTGCATACTGCTCGAAAATCCAATCAAATATCAATTTAATAATTTGCTCCCGAAAGGCGTTCGACCGGCATAAAGTCCACAAACTAGAAGTGGCCCCTATTTCTCAGACCCTACTTTAAAATAAAATAAATAATAAAAAAGGAAAAAGAAAAAGGTCTACAATTGCGTGTGAGTGTCAATTGACGGCAATCAGTGTGTGTTTTTTAAGGGCTGCGATAAGATTTGGGTTTTTTTTTTGTTTTTTTTTTTTGTGGCAAATACAACTTAACACCCGGGCCGCAAGTGTGGCACGCTTCGCGCCGGGGCTCTGGGGCTTGGGAAATCAATTGAACAAAAGGTAAATTAAATAAAACTGAAAGTTTAACAAATACACATGTTTATTTTGATATATACATTACAAATGAAGATATTTAATTAAATGATGCAAATAATTAGATTTAATTGTAAATGAAAATTAAAAGCTAGTTTTTTGTTTTTTTGTTTTTATGGTATCTGTTATAGGTTTTTTTTTTGCTTGATTTGTTTTTGTGCTATTTTAGTTGTCGTTATTTGGTTAAGTGTTGGACAGCGACGCAATTTTGCTAAAAGGCACGCAGCATTTTAAAAAACACACGTTTTTAAAAAATAAAATTAAAAATAGCAACATTTGCCTCGCTGCCTGACTATGGCTTAGTTATGTTTAGCATTCACTTCAATTAGTTTATTTATATTTTTATGTCTGTTATTTCTCAGACGCGCTGCCCTTTCAGCTGCGCACATTTTTTGTAAAGAACAAACGCCTTAAATACTACTAAATAATATACGAAAAATGTGCGCAGATCTGAAAAAAAAAACAAACACGTCTGGCTTCGAATTGTTGTCGTTTATATATGTATATATATGTATATATATATATATCAACTATAAGGTGGGCACCGCCTTGATGGCCAGGCCATTTGGCTGAGACCCCAACTTTGACTAGATTGAGTTTGGGTTTGTTTAGTTTTGCGACTAGCTTCGTAATTTTTGGTCAGTTTTTGTGCGCGTTTTTTTCGGGGAATGTTTTCTTGCTGGAATGTTCCACTTACAATTAAAACTAAATAATAAATACTTGTAACTAAATGCTAAATATATAAATTGTTGTGCTTTCCTTCTTCTTCTTTTCTTTTTTTTTTGGTTTCTTGTGCATGGCTTTTCTGTGTTGGTATCTTGAGGTAAATTCACTAAAAATTTCATTTACTTCTGCTCTATAAGTTTTTGTTTTTTTTTGTTTGTTTATAAGCATAAATGTTCATATTGTTATTTAAATTCATTTATTTAAATTATTGTTTTCAAGTCCGTCTGAGGTAGCATTTTTTTTTTTGATTATAACTTTTTATATGTTTCACTTGTTTCAACTTTCTTTTATTTGTTTATATTTATTTCGCTTTTATCGTTATAGATTTTATTTAGTATTTTATTTAGTATATAAAAAGTACCAATGGTCATTGTACTTTTGCCCTGAGTTGTTCATGTTTGCCTTCTGCTGCAAAAAATAACCTTTACTGGCGCCATTTTTATCATCTGTTCACACTGAATCGGTTCTATTAAGTGTGCCCAACATCTTATGCGCTCTATGTACAGTTCGTATATGTGTATATGTGTGTGTCTGTGTATGTTTTGGCATAGGGTGTACTACATTATAGATGTATGTGCAAATAATTTGTTTAAAGTTCAATGTTTGTTCGAGTTTTCTAGTTTAAAATAAAAGTTCTTGTTTATAGAGCAGAGCGGGGAAAACTTTTTGCTCGTATTTATCTACAGTGTATCTTGTATCTGTGTGTGTGCGTGTGTGTGTGTGACTATGGAACCTCGTATATAAGCACACCATGCCTACATTTTCTTCTTCTTTTTTTCCTTACTTAGCTCTAGAACTGTCCTCCTAATTTTGATTTCGACTACTTTTGCGATACGTTTCGCTTATATTTTTGATTTTGAGCAAATTTGTGCATAAAATTGTTCTCTTATATGCTGAAGCTTGAATTTGTGTACCTCTCTAGTTTTGTTTTTAGTTAGCACTACTAAATATAGTATTATACCAAAAATCCCTTAAACTAAGCGCACCGAACCCAGCCATATATCCATATATGTGTCTGTGTGTGTGTATGTGTGTGTCTCTGTTATGTTAAGCTGCATGGCTATGGCTACTACGATATATGTTTGGTTATATATGTATATATATATATCCTCTACACACGCCTTCCACTTTCTCCCACTTTCTTCCTGTCTTCCAACTCTCCTGCCTGGCGACTTATGTATTATGTACGTATTTAATTTTCCTTTTTTTTTCGACTAAGTTACCTCTCCCCTTCAACCTTTCCCGTTAACGATACGTTAATGGCTTTTAAAAATTACTATTACGCATAGGAACTTTGATATTAATCACTAGAGATATAGATATATGTATTGTTTGGTATGTTATGCAGTTTTTTATGTTTATGTTTTTTTTTCGTTTTCATTTGGTTTTTATCATGTTATCTTGGTTATGGATTTATAAAAAAATATGTTTTTAGCACACAGTGTTGCCAGCTGAAACGGACTTGTTATTTGTTTTAATTATAGATATTCCATTTTTTTTTCGTGTAGTTGGTTCCATGTTTAACACAAAACGCATTAATTTTCACTATATATGCCACATACTTGTAGATCTGCAGATCTGCAGTTGCCGTAGCTATATAGCTATTGTATATAAACTTTACTTTAATGAGCTCAACTAATATGCGCACTCAGTCTTTTGTAGTTCCACTATTTTGTCTTGTCTTCTTGTCGGTTAACGGGCTGGGGTAGTGGGACGATAACTGCTTGCCATCACTGTGGCCGGCTGTAGCTTTCGTTAAAAGCTCAATGACACTGGCTGACTGTATTACATAATCAAAGGATTAATCTTTAAGATCTTTGATTTTTCAAAGAATTAGAAATCTTTGAAGGCAGCTAAATAAAGCTCTCACAGCTCATTAAATTTTCGCGCTGGATTTTTTGTGCTTTTATTGTATATAAAAAATGTTGGCTAGCGCTTGAAGCTCAAAAGTTTATTACTCGATTAAGGATTCAAGTCAAATTAATTGTTTTTTTTTATTTCACTTGGAGCTTTGGGCTAAGAGTTTGATATTCTTTTCGATTTTGAGCTTAAGGCTCATTAAAGCTTCGAGCTGGATTAAATGTGCTTTCATTGGTCTAGAGCTTAAAAGCTTGTTACAGCTTTCGATTTATGGCTGCGACTCAAATTATTCGTAATCTCTTGTCAGATTAATCCCATGATTAGGCAGCATTTTAAGCTAGTGTCATTGTGCTATTGTTGTTGTAAATGGTTCTAAACAAAACGGTTGGGCTTTAACTTACATACGCTGGCAACACTCTTGTGTTGTTTTTGGATTTGTGTGTGTATCGGTGCCTGTGGCCAACTCTAGGCAAGCTTAGGCTGGTGTCAGCCTGAAGCTTAGTGTGGTCGATTCCGAGGCGCGCACGCGCACCGGCAAATAGACAAGGGCGGGTGCAAACAGACCCTCCGCATCGCCGTCGGCGGGCGTCAAATGGAAGGCCTGCATCTGATATGCCTCCTCGGACTTGTCCGGCTGTGCATAGCTGGCCGGCTTGCCGCTGCCATTGGCCAGATCGCTGCACAGCTCAAACGGCGAGGTGGCCGCCGAGCGTTGGGCGTTGATGCCGTTGGGCGTGCCGGGCTTCGAGTTGATGGTGCTGCGTCGTCCTGGCGTCGGTGTCACGGTTGCGGAACGCGCTTTCGGCGAGGCGGCAACTGTGCCTGGTGAGTGTATCGTTGTGGGCGTGGGTGTGGGCGTGGCAGCCTTCGTATTGCTGTGGCTGCTGCTGCTGTTGCTGCTGCTGTTGTTGGTGGTCAGATTCGTGGGCTCGTTGTGCTCCACATCGGCTCGGTCGGCTCGCTCGCGGCCTGGCTTGGTCCTGGCCTTGCCCTGCACCAAGGCAAAGGATCTGTCTCGTTCGTTGCGTGGCGGTTCCGCCTCGGCGGCCACATGCGTCTCACCATCACCTCCATTGTTGAGCAGCGCATGCGAGCGCTCGTGTATGAAGAGGAATGCATAGTAGGGCGTGGTGAAGGGGCAGAGCGAGCACTGGTATTCCTTGAAGCGTGGCGTCTGCTCGAACATGCCCGGCAATGGAAGCGGCAGCGGCATTCCCTTGGGCAGCTGCATCTGGCCAAACAGCTGCTGTTGCGCATTCTGCAGCGCCTGGGCAAGATTGTTGGCTGGACTGACGCCGGCGACGGCGCCAGCGGTATTGCCATTGGGTATCTTGAGCGTGGGACTGTTCGGCTTGCTGCCGGCGCCGCTCTGTGGCTGTGACTGTTCCAAGTCGCGCAGCTTCTCGATGCCCGCCGCGCCGTGCTCGTTCATGAGATGCGTGCGCAGCCATTTGGCGCTGCGGAACTGGCGGGCGCACAGCGGGCACAGCTCGTTGCCGGCACTGGAGTCGCCGCCAATCGGCGTCAAATTAATCTCCGGCTCCAGCAGCTGCTGCTGTTGTTGCTGCTGCTGCTGTTGCTGTTGCTGCTGTGCCTCGGCCTTGAGTCCATTCTGGGCGCTGCCACGCGGCTGGGGCAGTGGAGCACCATCCTCGATGATGCCGTGCGTGTTGTGCTTGTGGACGCGCAAAAAGTACTTGCTGCACAGCTCCTTGTTGCATATGTTGCAGACGACGCCGCCGATCTGGGCGCCGTTCTCGATCTCAATGCCGTGCATGCGCTGCATGTGCGTCTTCATGAAGTACTTGTTACACAGCTCCTTGTTGCAGATCTCGCAGTAGCTGGAAGTCGGCGTTATGGTGTATGCGGCACGCGGCGGCACTGCGGCAGCGCCGCCTGCAGCCGGCACCGTGGCACGCTCCGGCGTGTAGAAGCCCTCGCGCAACGGACTGGTACCGGGTATGCGGCCCAGATGCACCTCGGCGATATGTTGCTTGAATTCCTGTGTTGTGGCAAACTCGCGCTCGCACTGCTGACAGCGCAGCTCATTGGCCGTCGACGTGGGCGTGACCGCAGCACCGGGCGAACCTCCGCCTCCGCCGCCGCCCAACGGCGACAGCTTGAGCGGCAGCTGTGGCTGCTGCTGCTGTTGCTGGTAGAGCATGGGATGGCCCTCGGGCAGCAGCTGGCCAGCATGCTCGGTCATGAGATGTGCACGCAGCGCATACTGATGCTCCAGCTCCCGGCCGCACAGGTGGCACGGCAGCGGTCGCTTGCCATTGAAATCGTTGAGCTGCTGCAGCATCGACTGCAGCTTCTGCAGATTCTGCAGGCCCATCGCCGAGCTGTCCAGCTTTTCCGGCGGCGTTGACTCGTCGTAGGGCTCCAGTTTGATGCGCTTGTGTGGCTGCTCCTCCGGCTGCTGCTGTTCCTCGGGCTCCTGTTCGGGCTGCTGTTCCTGCTCGGCCGCTGCCTTGGCCAGCATCAGATTGAGCGGCATGAAGGGCCAGCCGGCGGGCATGAGCGGCTGCTGCTCCTCCTTGCCCAGATCCTCGGGTGGCACAAAGACGCCATGACGCTTCCATTTGTGCGTGCGCAGAAAGTAACGATTGGCGTACTCCTTGCAGCACAGCTCACAGAATGCCTCCGGCAGCTGGACACCCAGACGACGCAGCTTTTCCGGCGTACAGCTGGCATCGCGCGCCTGCTGCTGCAGCTGAGCCGGCAGCTTGCGCGGTGGCGGCGCAAAGGCCAGCTCCTCCTGCTCCAGCGTGAAGTCCTCGCGAAAGCCTTCCGGCAGCTGATAGGGCTTCTGTTCGACATCCGGCGTGGGCTCCTGCTTGACCTGCTGCTGCACTGCGGCTGGTGGCTGGGCAGGCTGTGGCTGCTCGTTAGGGCTGCCGCGTCGCGTCGTCTGGGGCGTCGGCGAGGCTGTGGGCGTGGCTGGCTGCTCGTGCTGCTTGGCGCGATGCCGGCGCATGGCAAAGACGTTGGTGAAGCGCTTCGAGCAGATGTCGCAGTGCACCGCCGGCGGCGCCGGTGGCGTCAATTGCGGCTCAGGCTTTTGTGCTGGCGGCAGCGGCGGCGGCGGCGGCTCGCGCGGCATTTGCAGCTGTTGGAACATGGAAGTGGAGCTGCTGCTGCTGCTGCTATTGTTGATGTTGTTATTGTTGTTGCTGCTGCCGCTATTGTTGTTGTTGTTGTTGATGTTGCTGATATTGTTGTTGGGCGTGGCCAAATCACCGGCGGGATCAAAGATGCCATGCTTGTTGGCTTTGTGCGTCTTGAGAAAGTATTTGTTGCAGAACTCTTTGTTGCACAACTCGCAATAGGCCTCCGGATTGAAGATGCGCAGTGGCGGCCGATTGAGCCCCTCGACGCCCCCAAAGCCGGGCATGCCCAAAAGTGGCCAGCCAAGGGCAGCTGCCTCTGGCGGAAATGCAAAGGCGGGCGGCATGCCCGGCAGCTGCTGTTGATGCTGCTGCTGCTGCTGGTGCTGCTGTGCCATGGCCTGAAGCCAGTGCTCGTGCTCCTTGTTGTTGTTGGCATGTCCATTGGCCAGTTCCAGCTGCTGCTGCTGCTGCTGTTGCTGCTGCAGCTCCAGCTGCGTGGGACTATCTGCACGCTCCAGTTTAACTTGAATGTTGGCCAGCAAGTCCATGGGCTCGTCTGCCGCCAACTGTTGCTGCTGTTGCGACGACAACTGTTGCTGTTGCTGTTGCTGCTGCTCCTGTTGATGATCCTGCAGCATGTGCAGACTGAGCTTGAACTCAGTCTCAAAGTTCTCGCCGCACTGCTTGCAGTAGGTTTGATAGGGATTTATTGGCGATTGCTGCTGTTCCAGATGCTGCTGCTGCTGTTCCAGCAGTTGCTTCTCCTCTGCTTCTGATATGTCTTCGGGCTGTAGCTTCTGCTGCTGCAGCAGCTCGAATGTCTCCTTCAGCTTCTCAATGGACTTGGGTAGCAGCATTTTCGATAGCTTCTCCTCGTAGTCGATCACTGGCTCCGCTGTGGCTGCTTTGGCGGCACCTTCTTCCGTCTCGGCGCCACTCAGATTGAGCGCCTCCAGGCGACTGGGATTGTGTTGCTTGCGTCGCTTTTTGGCCGCATCGTTGAGCGCCTCCAGCAGCTGCAGCTGCATGGCTGCTGCATTTGCTGCGGCAGCGGCCATTGCGGCCATTGCCGTTTGATCCAAAGCGCCGTCTGTCTCGACCTCGCCGTCGCCCTCGCCGTCGCCGTCGCCCTCGCCCTCGCCCTCCTCCTCGCCATCAGCTTCGTCTGCCTCATTTGTGTTGCTTCCCGTGGCGCTCAACTTGGACTTGGACTCCGTGTCCAACTGCGGTTGCTGAGTGGGTGACATTTCTGTGGCTGTTGTGGTTGCTGCTGCTGCTGTTGCTGCTGCTGCTGTGGCTTCATGTGGCTGCAATGTGTGACTGTTGTTGTTGTTGCTGTTGTTGTTGTTGTTGCTGGTGCTGTTGTTGCTGCTGCCGCCGCCGCGATTTGTGTTGAGTGTGGATGAGTTGGAGACATCGGAGAGCGCTGTGTCCTCGCTGCTCAGATCCGGCGGTGGGGTGGCATATATGGATGCGGCCATTTTGGATGATATTACTGTGAGAATGACAGCAACAACAAAAAGCAGAAAAGAAAGCATAAAGGACTGTGCTTTAATTAAAGAAGCCCCAAACTAATTGGGTGTCTAAAGTTGCAGGAAGCTTAAGCATGCCAGCTGAATACGTGGAATACGTCGGGTTTTATTGGGTTTAACTCTAACTGCTTTGTGTGGGTCACATGTGCGCTATCCGGGCTGGGTATCGTGGTGGGGTTCCGTTTCGGTGGAGCCTACGGTATGAATAGCTTGAGGCTTAAATCGTGTTAAGCTACCTTCCTTCCTCCTCGCCTACCTCCTCGCCTATGTGCTAAACTTCCATTCAATTTTATTTCTATTTTCCGCAAAAGTATGTTGCCAAAAATGTTGTACCTACACACACTAACACACACACACTCACACACGCACAGCTGGCATATAACATTTTGTGTCTCATTTCCTTATGCGCTTAATTTCATTTTTCTTCTGCTTTTCTTTTGCGCTCTGTAATTTTTTTTCTTACGCCCAGCACTTTTTCATTTTTGTGCAAATTCTATGAAAAATTTTTCCATTATGTACACAAATACATGCGCACATCTCACACACATAAGTATTTATATATATACCATATATAAAGAAAAGTTTTTGTGCGCCCAGCTGCCACCCACAGCCGCACACATCAACAAAAACACACACACACACACACACATATACATATACATATACACATACACTTGCAACCCCATTGCCGCACACGAAAATTTATACAAAGTCATCCGATTTAAGGAATACAAATTTTGCTTATTTCGTGCGGCGAACACACACAAACTTTTACTCCACCCCACACACCCAGCCACCCACACACATATACACACACACGCACACTAATACACGCCCAGTGTAATATTTGGCAAGCAGTCGCCCCCTCTGACACCGTCACTTGAACTGCGCATAAAACTTATAAAAATTTTCTTCAACATGACTTGGTAAAATAAATTTGATTCTCAAGAAAGCAAAAGGAAGCCGACAACGACACGAAGACGGCCCCAAAAAAAAAATGGGAGGCGGTGCGGCCAGAGCGTGTGGCAGGGGCAGACGAACAGGCACAGAACAGGCTGCCACTGGCAACCGTGTGCGGCAAGGGGCCAAGGCAAAGGCAACGGCAAAGGCAAAAATGTCGAAATAAACCCAAAAAAAAAAAAAAAAATTGTAAGCGAAGAAAAATAATTTTTTTCCCTATTTTCTCAACGCGAAGGCAGGCAGAAGAAAAATATTCTCAACTATGCTGCAGACATAAATTAAGTTTCCATGGTTGGAAATTGGTTCTCTCGTAGATGTTGTTGCTGTTGTTGACTTTGCTTTTATACAATTTCAGCAATGAAGGCAAAAACCCCCCGCAACCCGCCAACCGACCCCCACCCCTCCCCTGCACTACGCCCACTTTGGTACTTTGAGGAGTTAAGCGAAAATGCCTGCCAGAATGTGTGTGTGTGTGTGTATGTGTTAGTGTGCGTGTGTGTGTGTGGGTGACTGACTGTGGTTGGGATTTTTATAAAGCCTAAGGTAGTTTGATGTTATTTTATTTGATTTCTTTTTTTTTTTTGCCAGCTCTTCGTCAACTTAAATGAAAATGGGCAGCAGCCGAGTGTAAACAGGTCTGGTACTGGGCCATACATATATCAAACTGATACTGAACTATGAGCCCCAGCAAATCGCGTCTAATTAGCAAACTTAACCGTTATCTAGAGCTTGAGCTCACTTTACAACACTTAACATTTATCTATATATAGCATGAGAGCTTAAGCTCACTTTACAACACGTACTCATTAATTTATTAACGGAGTAAAAGCTCAATTTCTTTAAGTTTGGCCAAAGCTTTAAGCGAAGCTTTTCAGTTTCTGTCTTTGCGTTTTTTGCGAAATTTCGTTCAACTACCGTTACACGTTTCGTTCACTTGCACTTTCGTTAAGTTCGCGCTCAGTTTGTCGAGTCGCTGGCGCATGCGCACTTCGCTGCTGCTGCTCGTGTCCTGCCAAGTGGCTCGCTCGTTTTCAACTGCCGCATGACGCAGCAGAAACGGCGAACACAACAAAAAATCAAAGAAAAAAGAACTGTCAAATCGCAGTTACAAGCGCAAAATCAAAACAGCAAACAAAATTGATACTAAAATCACACACACACACACACAAATGCATGGAAATGTATCAATGCACACCCCGCAGCACATTTAATAGTTTTCCCTACACACACACACACACACAGAGACAGGCAGCTAGCTACCCACAGAATTTTTTCCCCATGCTTTGCACCCAAAAAACCTCAATAAAACACCCCAAAATATCAAAAATCAAATAATTTCCCTTAAAAAAAAAAACAACAGCAACACAACGCGACAACTGAGCGTCGCTGCTCGGAAAACCATTATTGCTCCGCCCCTTTTTTCAACTTTTCACTAACCACCACACACACATATACACACATACACACACACACATGCACACACACACATGGACAATCACTCGCGTTATGTTGACTTTTTTTCCTGCTCGTGCCAATTTATCATTGTTCGATAGTTTTTCAATTTGTTTTTCCAGCTACTGTTCTGTTGTTGTTGTTGCAGTAGTTGTTGTTGTTGTTGTTGTTGTAGTTGTTGCTATCGTTGTCACAGTTCCATTTTTGTTATTCTAATGTATTCAACATTTGTGACTTTGTCGCGACTTTTCGTTGGGTTCGCCCTTAGAACTTGTTATGGTATTTCTCATATTCTTGAGTCGCTCGTTTTGCAGCACTCAATTCTTGTGTATTCATTGTATTCATATCTGGAAAGTGAGTGCATTTGACAAGTCCCATTTATGTAGTTCTTGTGAGTCTATAAATTGGAAATGCAGCTGATTGAAGCAATTGCCGCGCCCCATTATTATGCGTAATCTTGTCGAGCACACATCTCACTTAAATGTGGACTTGAATAATTGCCGTCTTGTTTTGGTAGTTCTTAAGAACAGGGGTAGCAAAATCTGTAATCAAATTTCTGTGGTAGCAGCCAATTGAATAGATCTTTAAGCTGTGGGTTTTACTTTTTTCGATGGTTGAGCAGGGTGCTAAAAAGATTATGTGTACCTGAACTGAAAGGGTATGGGCAAGGACAGGGTATATAAAGACTCTTTCCACTGTCTTTGGCATGGGCTTACATAGATGTAACACGAGTCAATTATGGTGAATTATAAGCTAACAAATTTAAATGAGCTGTTCGTTTAAGGAACTTAGCGGAACTGGAACGTAGAACAAGACTAAAAATGAGGTGTACTTTATAATTTAGAGGGGAATTAAAGGATGTATTAAAAATGTGAAACATTCGATATCTGTGTATAATATCATATATCATATAATCTTTTGTCCAGAACCCACGGGCTTACAGGGAAGGACAGTGAGACAAAGGCTAGATCAACTTAGCTCGTCGGCCTAATGAATTAAATAGGATAAGACAATGAGATTAATACCCTGTACTTTTATCCCATACTTATTATAAAAAGAGCTCTAACTATGCTCTTCAGCTACGACATCGCACAACATTCATTCATCATCAAGCGTCAGATTCAAAGGACTGTATTAGCCCGAAGTAGCTCCAAAGATAACTCCATCCCTTAAGCAACTCATCTAGCGAGAACTAACCTATATTATAGAAATAGTCCATGTATCCCAAAGATTCACATCACATATTTTTGGGACTTTAATCTAAATAATAAGCTTGGCAGGTCTTTTGACTCAAACGAATGACAGCTAAATTAGTTGGCTTGACTTGATCTGATTTTGCTTCACCTTCGCAAATTTGATCCAAAATGTATGCCCTGACATATCAAAGGCAAGGTTTTGGTTTTTTCTTACGCACTGATAGATTGATTTTGACTTTACAGGATGCTCGTCGATGTGGGCCCATGTGTGTCTCTCTCATGTGTGTGTGTGTGTGTGTGTGTGTGTGTGTGCGTTGGCCACACCACCCCTTTGCTCCAACAACAATCGTGCCCACCTCCCGCTCTCCGTCAGGCACATGACAGCACGACGGAAAAGTGAAAGTGACTTGCCAGGTTCATCTCGGCCTCCATGTCTGTCCATTTGTCGTCCTGTTTGCCTCTCTATCTGTTGTCCTGCCATGTCCAATGCTCGCACTGGTTTCAGTTTCTGGACATGCGCACTGTTGGCCAACACATGGTGGCTGTTGCCTGCCCCCCACCCGATCCCATAGCGCGCTGCTCTCTCGCACGCGCTCTCGCCACCGGCTCTGTGTGGAGTCATATGGAGCGCATGTGTGTGTGTGTGTTTGTGTGCGTGAAAGTCGAAGTCGCCGGTTGAACGAACCAGGCGCACAAAATAGCCCAACAGCAGCAGCAGCGGCAGCAGCAACAGCATTGGAAACCCATTGGCCAGAGTCAAGTTAGAGCATGGAGCGCGGAGCTGCGTCCCAGTTGTCTGGCCACGTCCAATGGTCAAGGTTTGCTATTGACTTTCACTTTTCACATGTCGGCATGTCCGTGTGTCCGGCGCCAGTGTGACGTTGCGGTTGCCATCGGATTCGGTATAGCCGATGCCGGCACTTTCGCTTTCGCATACACGCACACACAATAGGCATTTGAGTGGGGCTGGGAGGGGAGCTAGGGAGGTCAGCCAGTCGGTCGGTTGGTTGGCTGGCCATGATATTGGGTCAAGCGCTAGTAGGCGCATGTCTGTTGCTGGACACTACACGTGTGCACTCGAAATGTAAACAAAGGTCCAACTCGAAAGCTTTGCCCACACGTAATTATAGCTTCCAACCGGGTGACAACTGTCAACCGCCCTGATAGTTGCCCGGCAGCAAACAATCATTAAAGAATTTAAAACCCAACTGAACCGCTGTAAACGCCCCTAACACACATGCAAATGTACGCCCACCTGGTTTTTATTTTCATTGGGTAGTTACCAATTGAAATAGTTCTAGGTCCCCGTGTGTGCGTGCACCTTTTGACGCGCCCATGATTGATATATGCCCATGACCATGCTTATGGCCCCGACGCGCATATGGCATACTTTATATGACACCCCCGCCCAGCCTGGCCATATGCAATTAATATTTTGTTGAAAATCAAATTGAAATTACTTTTGGTGGCTCAAAACCCACCACCAGCTGGCCTGCAAAGTGCTGATGCATTTTTGGGTTTTGTGATGTGCGGAGGAGGTTTTGGTTGTGCGGCTCATAATGTGTGTGCGACAAATTGATTTCAGAGTACAGCGAGTTGCGGTTGTTATTATTGATGGAGTTCTGGTGCTTGTTGAGTGACTGATGCATTCGTTTTGGTATTTTAAGTCTAGAACTTCATCAATAAGCGAAGTTTGCCAACAACTGCTATATTATTATTGAATCTCCCGGGCAATGCGGGGTAATTTTTTCTAGTTATTTATAATTTTAGAAGCCATTAGCTTAACTTTAAACTTAAAGTAGCACAAGCTATACCAGCTTTTGGCTAAGACAGCATTCATGCACCTTGGATTTGGATTTTGGTCCTACTTTTTCAGCTGAATATTAGAATACACGCAAATCGTCTTATTTGAAAACCGGGCAACGCCGGGTAATTATTTTAGTTATTAAATTTATCATTTTAAGGCCCATTAACTCAACTCTTGAAGTAGCACTGGCTACGATGGCGCATAAAGCATTCATACACAGACCTTGGATTCGAACCAGGGTCCAGCATGGGTCATATTAGAATAGGAATCAAAAACCGTATAATTTGAAAATGTTATACGACGCGTGTGTTCCGTTGAAGTGCTTACTATTATTTTCAGATTAAGCGAGAAACGTGGGCGTTACGGACAGCGCACAGCCCGTCGGTCTGTCGAGAAATACAAGTACATAAACCGAAATAGAACACCCTAACAAATGAATGTTCAATGTCCTTTACAGTTGACTTGGTAGCTGAATTTCCAACATTTTCTGCTTGGCGTGCTCATTAGCAAGAAATCTCATTAGAAACTAATGAAGGTACGTTGGCAACAACAACATCCACACACACACACACACGCACACACACACTCTCTATCACACACACACACATGCACTCGTTCAGTAACACAGGCAATTATTTAGTATTCGACTTTGCCCTGTTAAGTTAAATTTTTATACATATTTTTTCTCATTTTTACTTTGGCATCTCTCGCCTGGCGAATAGCGGACAGAGTGAAAAATTAATTTCCCAGCATATTTGCTGTGCCCTTCGAACTAAAGCTAAAGCGAATCGAAAGGGAAAGCCAATGGGAACAACTACATATTTCCATCCCGTTCATGCACTAAATTTTTTCTATCAAATATTATTTGTACAATAAACTAAAATGAGTGAGTGTGTGTGTGTGTTCCATCCCCTGAGCGCTAGAATGTACGTATGTGTTGCTGTGTGTGTGTGTGTGTGTGTGTGTGTGTGTGTGTGTGTATGTGAGGGCAAGATAAAATAAAAATACGAAAAATGTGGAAAAAATACAAGAAAAATTAATAATGAAACACACACACACTTGCACAGAGACAAGGACAAGCACAGTGTGTGTGTACATAAGTGTGTATACACACAAGCCATTCGCGTGTGGGTGTACGTGCATGTGTGAGTGTGTGTGTATGTGTGCTGGCTATTTTGGGCAAGGGCGGCACAAATAATAATCATTTTTATAATAATGCAAGTGTATCTGACCGAACCAAGCAATGTGTGTGTGTGTGTGGGTAAGGGGAGGGCCGCGGGGGAGAAACCAGCGATCGTCATTATCGTCATCGGCATCGTTATCTCGCGCACAGGCTGGCGGGCGGGCAGTTGGGCGGGCAAGGCAGGGCAAGGCAACCAGCCACCCCCCAAAAGTATGCAGCAAATACTTTCGAGCGCACAAGTGAAATCTATCGCAGAAATTTTCACAAACTATACGAAAAATAAGCAGCAACAGCAACAAAACAAAAAAGAATTCCATAAATTTTTGCTGCTACGCTTTGGTCCTCGCATTCACACAGGCGACACATACACACACACACAAGCAGCGAGGGGAAGTTTGCAATTTTATCACAAACGCACACACACACGCACACACACTTACACTTACGCCCCTCCCCCTCCCGCAGCCGGCATGCAGCGACTTTATGAAACCATCAAATTATTTTCTTTTCCATTTCTGACACTCAAAAGAAACCCAAAGAAAGCAGCAGCAGCAGAAGAAGGAGAACAAAAAGGGAATTACATGCTACGGCACAAAAGTAGTTGGGAAAGAGGCAAACGAAAAAAAAAAAAACAGAAAATATTATTTTCCAGTTACACACGGCTTCGTCCCCCGGTCACCCATGGCACATCCTTTACATTCATTTTTCTGGCCATGCTGCTGCCTCAAAGTTTTGCGACCGTCTTCGCCTCCCCCTCGCCAACCCGCTCCCGCTAAGCTATCCCAAATGCCTGCGGGTTACTTTTTGCTTCTCTGTCAGTGTATCTGTGAGCGTGTGTGTGTATTTGAATGTGTGTGTGCGCAGCTACTTCGTCTTATTCGAGTACGAAATTTTTATGAGAAAATGCCTGCCAGCTCTGCTGCTGCTGGTTGAAGTATGTTTGCTTGAGCACCCAGTTGGACACAAATGCATGAAAAAGGCACCACTTACCGCCTGCCTTTCGCTTATAAAGCAAATAAGGCAACAATTTGTTGTCGTTATTGAAAGGCATGCTAAAAGTAGTTCCCTCAGCAGCACTTCTGTCATATGAAGCAATAAGAAAGCAGCTAGTCAAATGAAGCAATAAGAAAGCAGCTAGTCATATTAATTGTGTGCCATGATATGTCTTTCATACATTTCTTTATTAGATACTTTGCTATAACTATCTCGGCCGCCAGGTCCCACTGGGCTACCTGCCCACGGGCGTCTGTGTGGGTGCCTGAGCCGAGTTATAAGCCTCAACTGTGCTGTATATCAAAATATTTAAAAGCAAATATAATATTGGTGGGCATTGGGTAAAAGGCACTGGGGAAATGGGAAATGGGCAGGCCATAATAGAAAAACACTTAAGCAGCCGTCTAGTGGTCGAGAGGGGAGGGGGGGCAAGAGCGGGCATGGAGTTGGCTGCCTGGCGCCTTCGTCTATGCTAAGCGAAATATCAAAAGGCGTACAAAATGTAAAAATATTAATAATGAGCCAAGCGACGGCGCCGAGTCCAGCGTCAGAGCCAAAGGCAACTAAATAACGCCAACGAGAATGTGGCGGAAAAATATTGTGGAAAATTTATTGATTTTGACTTTGAGAAGAGAGCGCCACAAAAATAAAATGAAAATCAACAAAATGAATGCTTCAACAGCACATGCTATAAACGAATGCCCGAGTGTTTATCAGTCGCATAATATATATATATATATATATATATATATATGCGAGCATATGTATATGCATTATAATAAAATTGATTTCGATCTTATCGGGCTTATCGTTGAAATTTTTATATTTTTATTGGCGTTCGCATTAAAAATACTTAATCTCACAGCGAAGTTATTATGGCAGCCACCCCCATTTTAGGGGGTTGCGGGTTGCGGGGGTGCTATAATAATGTCCATATCGAAATTTTACTTTATCGCGATTTTTCGCTGGCTGCCTCTTTTTTTTTGTTTTGTTTTTTTTTTTTTTAGTGTGCGTCGTTCATAATAATATTATTACTTTTACGTTATTAGCACCCGTAGGGCCCTCGTGGCGTATGCGTAATGCGCGATAAAACGCGCGTCGCATCGTGCATGCTTGCGTGTGTGTGTGTGTGTGTGTGTGTGTGACAGTCAGCTAATGAGACTTTTTAATAAATTGCCCCACCAATTTTAGTACAATTTTCATTATTAATAAAAGTTTATGACATATATATCAGCCGTATGCGTTTTTGGCTGTGATGTGTGTCTGTGAGTGTGTGTGAGTGAGTATATGTGTGTGTGTTTTGTTTAATAAAACAGAAGCTCCGAACAAGAGTGACAGACTGGAGAATACCCTGCACAAATCATGGGCGAATTGTGTGTGTAAATATAAAGAGAAATGAAAAGCAAGGTGAATACGAGGTGTTTACTTTTACGTGCTGCTGCTGCGCTTAAAGTTTAAATCAATATAAAAATTGCCCAAAAAACTTCATCCCAGCTAAATACATACAATAGGCCAATAAAGTTATGTCTGCGCCTTAACAACCTTATGATACCCGCTTGAGTCGCTTTTATGGCTATAGGGTATTAAAAAAAGCAAGCACACTAAATTTATTAGGCCAATTAAATTTCATAAATTCACACATGTGTGTATGTGTGTGTGTGCTTGTGTGTAAGCGCGTCATGGCAATGTCAAAGCACGATGTGCATTAGAGCGCCTAAAAGTAGATAGCTACAAAAGCAAAAGGATATGAATTTATGGCCACGAAACCTTTTAAAACGACTTTCCTACTAATGAATGAGAAGGTTGTTGCATTTGTTTAAGGCAAAGCAGGACGCTTCAAAAGATAAAACCAGCATAGAATTCGGTCAAACCCAAAGACTAAAGAACCCAAGGGCAGCCCAATTGTTGCTAACTATGAATATATATTTATATTCTACATTCCACCTAAATGCCCAAAGTGAGATAGAAAATTGACGCTATTTCAAGAGTTAATGAAATAATTAGTTTTTCCTTTACATACAATATAATGTTAAGCACAGGTTTCAGGGATTCTATCTGAGTTTTCCAGTTTAAAGGCGACTATTTCAGGGATTTAATCTCCAGCTGTTAGCCTAAATGCATGCAATATGTTTTGGTTACATTTGAGGGGCTATATATAGCTATATATGTATATATCTACTTTTGATTATATTGGTTATATTGTGCGTTAATTTCCTCAAACCATTTTAGGCCAATTTCAATTTGATTTTTATAGTCAATTTTCAACTAGAAATTAACGGCACTTGTATTATATCTAAGGAAAGCATCAAGCAATACAGTTCTTTGTTGTTGCCAATTAAAAAAGCCAATTTTTGTTAAATTTTGTTTAAAATGTTTGCCAATGTGCATTTGGTTTGTTAAATATTGTAAAGTTCAATTCAATTTGAAGCAAGCAAATTTGTATAGCGCATATTTTGGATATATTTTGTGACTGCAGTTCTCGTTATATTTATAGTGATAGGGTTTTTGTTTTGTAGGCTTTGGCTGGAACTCACAATGTCTCTAGTCAGAGAGCGCACCTTAATCCTACGTGTAAGCTTATATGAAAATAAACGCGCAACGTAACGAGTTTTGTATCTGATCTGATCGGGATTGTGAACGGCATTATGTTAAACAAAAATAATTTGGCGTATATCAAAATTAGCAGCATTTAACGTTGTTTTTGCTTTTTATTTATTTATTATTATTTATTTGTTTGTTTTTGTTTACATAAGAAAGCACTTGATATTCTTAAGTTATGCACTTGCTTGGCCCAGCACTTTGAAAGTGTCATTTGGCTAATTCAAATCCTGCGACACGTTTTTATTTAAACACATTTATTGGTCACTGAGATGGGCCTTTATTTGATATTTTTTATATTCGTATTTGGCTTGGCTGTTGCTTCCTGTTGTTGTTGTTGTTGCTGTTGTTGAAACTTACAGAACTTGTACAGGGCGTTTCACTTATTTATCATACCGACAAGTCTAGCACGCCGTTGTGGTGGCCACGCGCGGCTACTTCTGCACCACGTACGCGTTTTCTGTAGACTGAATTTTGGGTTTTTTCAGCTTTTCCGTTTGACAGCCTGTCGCCGCATATTGCCCAAAAGGATGCACAAACTCCCACACAGCCACAGAGAGAGAGAGGGAGAGAGAGCAAGAGAGAGCGCAGCCAGTGCACGAGAGAGTTTAATGGAGAACACAAAAAAAAAACCACCACCAGCAGCAGCAGCAGCACCACTAACACCACCAACATCCCCAACCCCCAACCACCACTCGAATGGGTAAGCGGCGCTCTGTTGCTATTTTGTTTACTTTCGTTGCGGGGGCGTTGCGCTACAGTAGGCGTGTGCTGGCCAAAAACATGTGCTACCCTATCATTTTAAAATATTTATAAGGTATTTTTTTAGCCTACTTCATTGCCTGCTGTCAGCTTTTGCATAGATTCATGCAATATTGAGCTGCAACTGGCATTAGCTACTCACATGTCTATATGTACATAGTTATATAGCGCGCCCACTTGATGGATTCGCAGGCACACACACACACACAACACACACTCACACACATACACATGAAATGTAGGCGAGTGCGACACCCTCAGCGCTGAGGACATGCGCTGTCGCAACGACTCTCAGAGAGAGTTATTTGTCTTGGCCACTCCACAGTTTTTTAATATACTTTATCAACATATCGCAGTCTCTGATAAAACAATCATCGTTTATGGTGCAACACGCTCGCCACACACGCACACACAAACACACATACATTATGATATTGTGCCTCCCACCCCCCGAGCAAGCGAGGGTGGTTAAAGTAAGCCGCACAACTTGATGCCAAGTCAAGTTCTTTGACAAAGGCCAAACTGGGTTAACTTCAAATGCAAAAAACCCAGCCCACAAATTGGGTAATGATTTTTGAACCAATCCTCCAATCCTCCAATCCTTGCCACAAATACAAATACAAATGCGTATGCGTAGCCTGCGCTTAGCGTGCGGCTCGTTAAAGGCGCCTCCGCAAAAGTTTCTATAATTTTTTGTTGGGGGGCCCAAATGAACGACGGAAATGACAAGGCATAGTTTTCGCATTGCTTTTAAACTATAAACAAATCTAAAAAACAGAGTGGAGAGTGCACGACCGCGAGATACCCTGGTTTAGAGTTAGCTTAATACAAATACAATTTGATATATGCCATACATTTATTTTACAAATGCTTTAGTAACTTATTCTTGTGAAATAACTGCTGTCGTTATTTATAAAGAATTTTAGTTTGCAAAGAGACGCTGCGAATACCCTAAGATTTATAAATACAGATCTGTTCTTGATAGCATATTGCATACCCTAGAGCGAACATTAGATCAAGCATTTGTTGTACGACGAGCGCACAGCTATCATGACCACTTTGACAATTTTTGTTTACAGGGTATACATGAGGAAAATCAAATATGCGCTTAACACGAAATATTCAAATTTTCTGTGCGTTCGCTTGGTACCTATTTTATGTGAGTTTATTTTTTTATATGCTATATAATTTTGCCTCCCGGCAATATTCGACTAAGCGACTTTTCAATAACAAATCGCTGCGAGTCGTTTATTTGTCGCCCTTGCTGCCGTTGGAACTTTTTCGTGCTGGTCGGTGCTGTAAGAGCTCCTGGTATTGCTCCATGGAACCATCCTCATGCTTAGACGTGAATTGTTGCTGTTGTTGCTGCTGCGTCTGCTGCTGCTGCTGTGAGGTCTTCTCATCGCCGGCTTCCTTGGAGTCGTTGCGCTTTTGGTCGCGATTCGATTTCTTGATTTTATCACGCACGCGTTTGCCCAGCCGCGAGGCAGCCAGCACCTGGCTAACCTTGGAACTCTTCAGGTAGCGTGTGCGCCAGGACTGTTCACAAATTTTAAATGTTTTTAGTTTAAGATGCGATACATATTTAAAGGCTTCTGGCTATTACCTCCGAGTTGGCTTCCTGTAGTTTCTCGTGATCATCGTCGCTGGTGTTCAGCGATATTACATCGTTGTCCTCCTCATCCGGCTCGACGAGTTTTTCGGGCGCCTCGCTCTTGACCTTAACAGCTGGTTCTTCTTCCACCTTGGCCAGCTCCTCAATCAGTTCCAGATCACCGCCTATGGAAATGATATCATCGTTCTGATCCTCATCGTCTACGACGGACGTGCTCAGCGGCCGCTCTGGCTCAGTCACTGGCTCATTGGACTCTATAGTGGGTGCCGGCACTTCTTCAGCTGGGGCTGCATTTTCGATTGAAGCCTCATCAGTTGCCACTGATACTTCTTTGTCAGCTTCCAATGCTGCTGCCGGCTCCTGCCCCTGCTCGACCTTGGCTGCGGGCTGAGTTTCAGTTTCATTTTCGCTTTCCTCTCTCACCTCTCCCTCTTCGGGCTCGCTTTCCTCAGCTGGGGCTGGCTGTGGGGCGGCTACAGACGCCGGCTGCACCTCAGCTTTCGTTGCTGTTGCCTCCGTCTGCTGCTTGTCCGGCTGTTTGCCTTCATCATCGGTGCTGTCACTTATGAGCAGTGTTTCCGGCTCCGCTGGTATGGGTATTACATCCGGCGAAGCCGAACGCGACTTGTGCTGTTCCTGAACGGGCTCGGGCTTTGGCTTATCCTCCTTTTCCGGCGACTTGGTTGAGATGCGATAGTTGCGCTTTAGCTTGATCTTCTTCGGTGGAGCTGCGGCCTGTTTTGAAGTGCTGCCATTGGTTTGTGCCTGTGGCTGCTCCTTGTTGGCTAACTCGCTGGACTTTCGCTTGCTCGCACTGGTGCTCTTGTGACTGCGCCGCTCCTTGTCTGGCTGCTTCTTCGACATCTGCTCATCGTCATCTGACTTCACCTCGATCTTTGTAATGGGTTCCATGGCCAGCTGGGAGCGAATGGCGCGCGCCCGTGCCTGCAGCTCGAGCAGCTCCAGAACACTGATCTGTCCATCCGCTGGTTTATGGAGTTTATAGAGACATAGAAAGGTTTAAGTATATAGCATCAGTTATAGTAGGCAGTTGCTTCCATTCAGTATTTGCTTTGTATTTTTTTCAACTTACGTTCCTTATTTTCATTGGTTTTATCGGCTCTTTTAGCGCTTGATTTCCGCAATTTCTTAGCTGTAAAAATTTTCAAATTTAAGCAAAAGCATTCAGTTATAATTCAAATTGACTGCACGCCATGGCTGCGACGGATGAAGGAGACAATGTGAGCATGACGAACACGGAGGAGGGAGAACAACAGCTCGAAGGTGAAGTAGATCCCGAAAAGTTTACGGTACGTCTCAATGGGCAAAAGGACTTGGAGCAAAGACTACGCGAATTTAAGGCTGCTTGCGACGCGCACGAGAAGCATGCCCGTAAGCGTAGGAGGCGTCGCTACTATCACATTGGCCTGCTGGCCAAAGTGGTCATGGAGACTACACACGATGAGCTGCGGCGCATGCTGGAGCACGGCACCTACACATTCCACGTGGACATGGTGGCCTTTAAGCCAGAAGAACTGGCCACCATACTGGAAACGCTAAACATCGCCATAGCCGCACATGCGGACGAGCGCGAGCTAAGAACAGCCACGGGCCTGGCCGTAGAGATAAATGGCGACTGTTGTCGTGTGGGTCGCTTACGGAACAACTGCACCACAATGCTGGCACGCGGCTCTGTGGTCACGCTGACCACAAATCCGGCCTATCGCTACGCTGGCTTCCGTGAGATTGTCTACGTCATCAATCTACGTGCGTACCTCAGCTCAATACGGCTGAATGATGTGCTGCTAATTGGACGCGAGGTGCGTTGTCGTGTGGTCAAGACGCTGAACGAGGCGCTGGCCGTTCTGATCATCGATGCGGGTCTGCTGACCTCGTACGATTTCATTGAGCTGCCGCGCCAGTGTCATGCCCTGCAACCGGAAGTGTACCCAGATCTATTCTTGTCCGACCTGCAAACGGCCACAGCGCTTAAAGCCAACTTTGTGGTGCTGCCCAAGATTCGCTGCAAGTCGTTTCTGCGCGCTGTCCGCACGGCCATTATGTCGGACTTTGATATGAAGCTCATTGGCTGCATTGACTTTGAGTATGTGCGCAACAATATGCTGGATCTGCTTGGCATTATCAAGCTGTTGGACTACATCTGGATACCGGACATGTTCAATGTGAACTGCTGCGTGTACAACTACATCATGGAGGATGCCCTGCCCATTGCGCACTGCCAGAAAAAGCCCGTCATTGGCACTGTGCCGCTGGAGCGTTGCAACGACTTCAAGCGCTTCGAGCTGCACGAGTTCCTCTGGAAAATCGACACCATACACATGCAGAAGAGTCCGTGGTGCAACAAGTATCCCCTGATTGTGAAAAAGCTTATGCCCATTCGTGACTATCGCGTGGGTGTAGTCCAGACACAGCAGCAGGTCAAGAGTATACTGACCTCCTATCAGACGATTGTTAACTTTATCATTCGAACAATTGCCACGATCGAGTGTCAGGCGATATTTGTGTTCACCAAGTGTGAGAATGCGAGTGTTGCGCTGGCGCGCTCGGAAATCTATTGCCCGGTCTATATGATGATGCCGCTCAACAATGATGACGATGAACATACAATTAAATGCAAATTCGATTTGGCCCGTGCGCTGCATTTGAGGCGCAATACGCATCCCGTTCTATATACGCCCGATCTCAATGAGTGCAACTATAGCCCCATTGAGTTTGGGGTGGATTATATGCGTCGCAAGGGCTGCCTAGAGGTGGGCGATTTTGTTGTCACCTTGGAGGTGGGCAAAGAGGACGACGAAAATATTGTATTAGGCGTCGGCGAAGATGTCTGCATCTTACGCGCCTTTTACGTGGCACCGGTGTTCAATTGCGAGAAATTCAAATATGGCACATGAGTCCGTGTGCAGATTAATTCATGACGTGCAGTTGTACAGATAACATTTCTTATGATACATCAAAATTAAATGTATATAATGAAGTTTTAAATGATATTCCTAACCGGGATTGTGGTGGCGTGTAGTATATGTGCATGGACTTACCTCGCCGTGACTCATTGCCACCAATATCGCTGTCCGACGAAATCTCCTCCAGCGAGATGTGTTCTGCAATGGCATCGATCTGAGTACAGGCGTATTAAGAATGGAGTCTTTCCTTACCATCCTTGTGCTCCACGTCCGAGTCCTCTGAGCTTTCCGTATCGGTGGGACAACGCGTGTCGGCAATAATCGACTTTAGTCGTTTGGTCGATATGCAAAGCAGCTCGTTTAGGCAGAGTTCCTCGATTTCATCCAAGCTGGTTTCCTGCAAGCGATTACGCTTTATAACTGCTCTTAATTTGTTTTTGTCATTCTACCTTAAGAAACTCTGGCGCCAGATTCATAATCGTCTTTGGCTTCAGTGTGCCAAAAATTTGTTTGACCAGCTCGAGGCGGTCATCGATGTAATGGGAAATGGGCTGAAGTGTGCGATCCTCCTCAGATTTCTCCTTCTTGATGGTTATTGGCTTGGGTATTTGATCACTTTTAACCCGTTTCTTCGAACTGCTCATGTCGATTAATTGCAATTCAATATAAAATTACAGCAAATTAACTTTTTGTTGACTTTTGTGAAAAACTCCGAAAACCAAAAACAGCTGCTTGGCCAGAGTTGCCACTCTCATGGGCTAAATTAATGCTGTTGCTAGACTGCTGTGGCAACAGCTGAGATAACAACTTTAGCGAATTGTGTTTTGGATTGAGTTGTGTACAAATCAAGTCGTGTGTAAATTATAATCAAGTAACCGCAAGTAAGTAGCAAACAGCTTTGTTGTAATGTAACTAGTTGTAATTATAAATCGTAACCGGCATGCCGTTTGTACCATAGAGGCAATTGGTTAATATTGACCATGTTACTCGAATTGCCTTAAACGCGTGCTTTGGTAGTAACATTTTGACTGCAAAAACAGTGTTTTTTAGCCATTTTGTAAGATATTTACCACTTGAAAACATTTATTGCTATTATAGATGGCTACATGTAGTATTTCGGTAGTATGCATGTTTAATGGTATTTATTGAGTTTACCAAGCTTGGTCACACCGCTGGCCATATGTTCATTTGCTAGGCGAGAGAGCAAGACGTGAGAGCGCGTCGGTAAAAATAGTTTTTCGTTTTATTAAGCGGACACCGCGAAAACAATAGTATTGATACAAAACTACAACAATGTGTGTGCTTTACTAAAGTGTTTAACCAAAAAATAACCCAATATGTAATACGATGCTAAGCATGAATGCCGATAAAAAGCACTTATAAAACAGTCAGTGCAAACGTACAAAGCTGCCTCCCCCTCCCATTACATGCATATTTTGACGTTTGACGAAAGGGGAAAAAAAATCACAGCACAAAGCAATTAGAATGAGCATTCCGCGTGGTACCAACAGCACAACGCTAGATCTAACGCCGCTGCTCGATGCCAGCAACAACAGCGACGACAGCGACAACGACAACGGCGGCAAGTCCAATGGCGCCCTGTTGAATGCCTCCAGTGTCGGCTCCAAGGAGCTGCGTACCAGCCACAGAGAGCGGGAGAGGGAAAAAGAGGAGGCAGATGCTGCACTCTTTGTGAAGAAGGTTGGCAGCGCCGTCTTCTATGGCATCTCCTCCTTTATGATAACAGTGGTAAACAAGACGGTATTGACGTCATACCACTTCCCATCGTTCCTATTCCTCAGCCTGGGCCAGCTGACGGCCAGCATTGTGGTGCTGGGCGCCGGCAAACGACTCAAACTGGTCACATATCCGTCACTGCAGCGCAATACGTTCGCCAAGATCTTTCCGCTGCCGCTGATCTTTGGCTTCAACATGATCTTTGGCCTGGGCGGCACCAAGGCGCTCAGCCTGCCCATGTTCGCGGCGCTGCGCCGCTTCTCCATACTGATGACCATGTTGCTGGAGCTCAAAATATTGGGCGTGCGGCCCACGACGGCGGTGCAGATCAGCGTCTATGCCATGATTGGCGGCGCCTTGATAGCCGCCTCCGATGATTTGTCCTTCAACATGCAGGGCTATACGTACGTGATGATCACCAACGCGCTGACCGCCTCGAATGGCGTGTTCGTGAAGAAGAAACTGGACACCTCCGAGATCGGAAAGTACGGCCTGATGTTCTACAATTCGTTGTTCATGTTTGTGCCCGCCCTGCTGCTCAACTATGTGACGGGCGATCTCCAGAAGGCCATGGATTTCGGCAGCTGGAATGATCCTGCATTTGTGGTACAGTTTCTGCTTAGCTGCGTGATGGGCTTCATCTTATCCTACAGCACAATACTCTGCACCCAGTTCAATTCGGCGTTGACCACCACAATTGTCGGGTGCCTCAAGAACATATGCGTCACCTATTTGGGCATGTTCATTGGCGGAGACTATGTCTTCTCCTGGCTGAACTGCATTGGCATCAACATCAGCGTGCTGGCCAGCCTGCTCTACACGTACGTCACGTTCCGGCGGAAACAGGCGCCCGACAAGCAGGCCAATCTGCCCAGCTCCCGAGGAGAGAACGTCTAGTCTCTGGAGAGTTGGGAACCGCGTCGCTTGCACTGCTGCCAAAGCCATAAATGTTTTATGTACCCATAGAGAAAGAGTATCGCGAATTCGACTTGAGATCAACACAAAAGGGAGCACATTGTTATCTGTCAACTCTGAACTGTACATATGTAGTTATGTATTTTAAAAAGTATATTTATATTATAAGTGCTTATGTAATTTAAATGTCTTTGTAAATTTATATATGCAATTGCTCAGCCACACTCACACACACACACACACACGCACACGCACACTCGCGCAATTATGTTAATGTGCGTCTCCGCATCAAAGTGTCATAAGTTTAAAGGAAACACAGACGGAAACCTCCACATAATAGTTAATTAAATATATAAATATACGTATGATAATACACCCACAAACGTAGACAAAGTGTTCGATTTTGCGGGTGTAAATTGAAGATAAGATAAGACACAGACCCCGAGATAAGATCTGAGACGCATGTAAGTGCATATGCTCATTAGAATTGTGTATGTCAATTGTTTTGTGCCTAATTGGAACAGATATAAGCCAAATATGACAACGTACATGTTTGCTACCTGTTATTATTTTGGCTTTCAAAAACATGTCTTCAATTTGTCATAAGCTTGTTTGCTGCTATCCTACTTTCTTTCACTTAGATCTAAATTGGATAGCTAAATAGACTTTATAAACAATTGTCAAGTCAAATAAACACCCTGCAAAATGTTAAGATATTTCACACGGAATTTAAACAAAAGAACTTTTTTCAATCTTTTTTCGGATCGTATTCGACTTTTCACAAAATCTCCCAATTAGGAATTCCGCCCATTTAAACTGGGATTGTTTCTTCTAATATCTTTTATATTTCTTCCCAATGGAACAGGTGGAATTTCCCAATATCGCTTTCTAGTGTTCGCTAACGTCGCAAAAAGTAATTATTGTCATAAAGTTAGCACTGATTATCAGTCAGTCAGTCAATCAATCATTCAATCAACCCGCACAAACAGTCACATATACATAGTATATTTCGCTTGTTTATTCTTTTATTGCTTCTGCTTAAAAAACAATCTAGTCCAATGCGGTCTGTAGTTTGAACAGATGAAACGGAAACTCAAGTTCCCCATAATTTAGACCGGGGCTGATAAAAAAAAACCCATTTGTATACACTCCAAATAGTTTTCAGCTTCAGCTATTACGCGCTTATCTTTCCCATGCAGCAGTTCTTATCTTGTCCAAATATAACTAAACTGTAAATGTTTGTTTAAATTTCTTTATAATTATGTATAAGGCAATGTTAGAACATTTTCACATGTTCATTGTCTTAATTATAATAAAATAAAAATAAAAGTTAATAGGAACAGAAGCGGCAGCCGGCCGCCCGGGTTCAGCGCATTTTGAAGGTTCAATTGTGCTTATAAACAAAGGTAGTCAAAAAAAGTAAAAAATATAAAATAAAAGTAAAGAAAACCGGTTGCCAGATTTGCTTCAGTCTTTAGCCTTAACCGTTGTGGGGCGGCAATATTTACTTACGAATCTCTCGACTCGGTATAGACAAATTGATTACTTGAAGCTCCCCGGCCCGAGGGGGGGCTGGGCGGAGGGGCTATTATTGAAGCCGCGTACAAGCGTGGCTTAAACTACCGACTGAGTCTTCAGGGTCGCGCTTAGGAGCCGAGTCACACATACATAATTAGTCAGCGCCGCGGCTGATGAGGTCAACGAGGTGTACACTTGCTGGCGGCTTCTATTGTTAACGTCATTCACCCATGTTTAACCGACAGAAATGATGCAGCGCAGCTGGCAAAGCTGGCGGCGAGGCTTGACCCTCGGCCTGGCCAGCAGACGCAGCTATGTGGCCTCTGTGGAGGGACCACCACCGCCACCGGAGGAGTTGGACGCCTTTGAGCGTGACTACCTGAAGCAGCGCATAGAGATTACACCATTTCAGAGGCTGCTTCTGGGTGCCGGCTCGTCCATTGCCTCATTGCTGGATCCGCACAGGTGAGCGGGAATGTGTACACTGCAGCAGGAGCACTTGGTATAGACATTTTTCAGGCACGACATGATTGCCTGCCTGGGCGAGACAACGGGCGAGTCTGCGCTTTGGAATATTCTGGATAGCATGCAGGCAACCGAGGAGGGGCGACGCATCCTGAAGGATAAGCCACGCATCAACACCAAAACCATTGATTTTAAACGCTTGGAGGCGCTGCCGCCGAACACATTTGGAGCCACCTACGCCAAGTTTCTCAAAGATAACGTAAGTTGACACTTGTTAGCGATTACACAAAATTTATGTTAATGAGACAGAAGAAGGTCTCTTCGACCCAATATAAGTCACTCTGCCTGTGTGCCTTTAATAACGAGCGAGACACTAATTATTATTTACATGTGGTTAACTTTGTGTGTGGATAATAATTTAACTGATTTAGTAAAAGTTATACGGACTCTTTACTGTCTCTCCTTTAATCGCCTCTCTATGCGATTTTCATGATTTCAAGTAAGGTTTATTGGAGATTTAAATTTTGAGAATTGTGTTTTTACCACACAGAAAGTGACGCCTGATTCGCGCATGGAGGTTCGCTTTCTCGAAGATCCAAAGCTGGCCTATATAATGACGCGATATCGCGAGTGCCATGATTTGGTGCACGCAGCACTCGACATGCCGACAAACATGCTGTGCGAAGTGGCGGTCAAATGGGTGGAGGCCTTGAATACCGGTCTACCAATGTGCTACGGTGCCGCCGTGTTTGGAGCGGTACGATTGCGACCCAGGTGAGTACATTTTTATAGCTTCACCTGACTTTCTAGGGTTAATTGAAAAGTACAATACAATCGAATTCTTATCTACTTTCAGGCAGCGGCGAGAGTACTTGAAACGCTACTTGCCGTGGGCAATTGAAAATGGCAAGTGTATGAGGCCACTGATGCCCATCTATTGGGAGCAGCGTTGGGAGCAAAATATCCATGAGTTACGCTGCGAATTGGGCATTAAACCCTTGCAATAAAGTTTATTTTCTTTTTAAATTCGATTATTTTTCGTTTGGTTGAGCGGGCATATCGAGCGCAGTCGATCGCCGTCTATCGATAAACAGCGATCGTCAGCGAAAACGGGCTGGCAACGCTGTTTGCCGTGTTTGGTTTGCTGATGTGTTGATGTGAGGCGCTAATGGATAATTATTTATTATATTTACAATATGGCTGAGAAATTTAATGGCTTTAGCCACGACGAGATACTAAAAATAACAGGAGCGAAGCAGGGCAATAGACTTAATATCGATGCAGGTAAATTTCGAATCTTATTAAAGATTTTGCCCAGTTTGTTTGTGTGTGTGTGTGTGTGCTAAACAAAACAAATGTTACTATACATACATGCATGCATATTTATAGCAAAGAAGGCGCTCATAAACCAGCCCGGTATCAAGCGGATGCCGGATAAGATCTTCCGGCAGGCGGATCAATTGCGAAAGCAGCAGCAGCTAGCGCAGCAGAAGCCTCAACAAGTTGCCGCCGTCCAGGCCAAATCGAGAACAACCACGCCCACAGAAGCGGAACCAAAAGCAGCGCCAACTCCCACGCCAAGCGATGGCGACAAAAACGAAGAAGAATCTCTCAACTTGGAGCGTGGCTTGTCTGACTCACTGGTCGAGGCGCTTTACTGTGGCTCCGTGAAAACGGCGTCAACAAACGGGAAATCTACGCCCGCCACGGGATCTGCCACGTATGCAGCAGCTGGCGACAGCGAGCAGACGGATGACAGCTCAATTCTGAAGATAAGCAGCACGGACGATAATGCCAGCATACTGCCCAGCACCAAAGATTCAACGGACGACAGGCTCAGCACGGACTCGCCCTTCAAGGGCATTTCGCTCAAGGACTTCGAGCAGCATCGCAAACTGATCCAGGAGCAGAACAAGCAAAAGAAACAATTGCTCTACCAGGCCATCGAGCAGCATACGCAAAAAACTGCAGCGGAATCGCGCAAAATCGAAGAGATACGCCACGAACTCTCCAAGCTGGAAAGCGATCTTGCCGTGGATGTTGCTCTGCTGCGCAAACAGATTGACAATGCTTGCATTCACTTCGCAAATGTGGAGTAAGTTACCAATTTGCTTAATTCTGCGAAATATTTATGGCTAATGTGCTGATTTTTGGCAGAAAACAGTATATAAGAATCGAGGCTCAATTTCTAAAGGCAAAAATGGATCTGCACAATGCATCCGAGAAGAAGGAGCTGCTCACGGAACACCTGTGCACGGTTATAGCCCACAATGAGGATCGCAAGGCGCAGAAGCTGACGGAATTGATGCAAAAGGTGGGCCTGGCGCCAACTGATGACGAGCCAGCTCCAGAAGATAAATGAATATAGCGAATTTTTACGAATCTTTGCACAGAACAAAGCTTGTTTAGATATTAACATTGATATTAGCGTGTGCATGTTTAGAAATATATATTAAGTTTTCTAGTTTTAAGCAGAAAGTGCAAATTTCAATAATTAAATGTAGTTCAAAATGTTTTTGCTTGTTATTTTTGAGCAAACTGGCAACGCCAAACGCAAACGCTGCAGCCCTGGTAAACCAGCTGGCGTGCAGTGGGCAAAATAAACGTGTGCAAGGTTTAAAACATAAACAATCATTATAATTGAAAATAAATAGCGAAACATAGAGAATGGCTGGACGTGGGCGTGGTGGCAAAACAGGCTCGCTCACCGCTGAGCAGATGCAAGCTCTGGGCTGTGTGGGCAAAGATATGCCACAAGTCCAATCGGCGCCGCCTCCGACGTTTCCACCTTTGCTCAACAAACCAATTTCCTTAGAGGTAAGCGAAGATTTCTTAAATTAGAATCCCATTAATATACATCATCGTTTAGACAACTGCCTCGCAGAACTATCAGCTGCTCTGGAAGGAAGACTTTTTGAATCGCATGCGCGACTCGCCCTACTATATCATCTCAGCCAGCCAGGAGAAACTGAACACAAGTGTTAAGGACTGGCGCGAGGTAGGTGCCAATAGATTCAGGTATTAATCCGGTAGTACCCGTAACTGAACCCTTGCAGAAAGCTTTGGAACGCATGAAACATAAGGCGCTACCCGAGTTTAACTACAAGGCAATGCCGCGGGAGCTTAACACATCGAGTCGAAAGCTTCGGGCAGCAGAACCCAGACCCAAGCTGTTAGCCAAGAAGACAAACATTGAGGACAGACTGAAACAGTTGGAGCAGAAGGAACTGAAAAGCAGCGGGGAGAACGAAAATGACGAGATTAAGCAGGAAAGCGACTCGGAGCATGACGATGAGCCAGAAGATCCGGAAGCAGCGCTGGACGATGAAATGGACGAGGAGAACGACTATGCCAACGATTACTTTGACAATGGTGAAGCCTACAACGAGGAGGATGACAACATGGACGATGGTCCCGTATATTAAACAACAAATAAACAGTCCGATAAACAGTGTTTGGGTTTGTGATTTACTATTCTTCCACTTTACGCTTATTTAACACATAATTATTTGCAATGTACGTGAACAGATTGTTTGCCCACAATCTAATCCAAGCTGCTGGGAGCGCTGTAGTTGAAATATACCAGGCCCGAAGATTTTACCTATAAAAATCCATGCATTATTATTAAGCATTCCCAGCCCTGGATGCGGCTGCGTTGTTGCCACTTACAAAGCCAATGGTGCCAGCCAGCACCAAAACACCAGCCAAGAGGGTGGCATTGTATTTGGTGCTGTTGCGGCTCTGCTGCTCCTGCCAGTCACCAGCTGGTATGGGGAGGTCGTTCATGGTGGAGTGCTTGTGGTCGCCACCGCCGTGGTAGGCGGCACGCGACATGGCACCAGCTGCCGAAAGGGATCACAAATTTGAAGTCAATAAATACAAATGGACATGACGCAGGGGCGGTGCATTGATCACATTATGTAAGTTTTAAGGTTAGCAAATGTAGCTCAAACTAAGTGTCAAGTACTTGCACTCACCATTTTTGAACAGCAGACCCTGCTTGACGATGTGTTTTACCAACATGATTGCTAAGAAGTTGCCGAAAATGTGCGAAATATGTTTTTATATTTTCGATATTTTCTTCGCGTTAAAACTACTCACCAATAGCTACTTATGTATCGGCCAGTGTGACCGTGTTCGAATAGCATAAAAATACTGAGCAATAGTCAACTCACGCTAAGTTTGCTGTGCGCAATAATTAGCTCGCGTGAAGTTAGCCGCATTAGCGGTGGTGGCTCATTGAACAGCTGTTTTTGGCGGAGGCGTTCTTCAATTTGGAAACAATTATATTACTGTAATAATTGCAAACGAGCCGCTGCCAACATTCCGTAGCCATGCTAACTATTGGCACTTTGGCCAACATCAAGCACATACTGCAAAAGGAGCTATTCAACGGCAGCGGCGAACGCCTGCTCTCCGTGGTGACGGTGACGAAGACATTTAAAAAGAAAGACAAGCGGGCCTGCTACCTTTGTGTGCTGACGACAGCGCCCCCAGTGCCGGTGGTCACGCTCTGCCTGGTCAAGCAGTACGAGCAGCGGGACAGTGAGTACAAACGCAAGCGCAGCTGGCAGCTGGACGAGATTAAGTGGATCGATGGCCGCAACGAGCAATTCGAAACGCACGAGTTCGACATCCAATTGGAAAAGCTATACAAGTGGTACGCTCTCAATTTACACGAGCGGCAGAACTTTCTCGCTGTGCTCAACAGGCAGATACAAAAGTTTGTGCGTGGACCGCGAGCAGAGTTTCGCAATGTGCCCAGCGCTTGGCTGTCTGAGAAGTCGCCAGAGAAGATAGCGGCGGGACGTGCGGGAGCCGCAAATGCCACTCAGAAGCCAACAAATACGGATGATGAGGAGGACGAGGAGGAGGCGCAAGAGTTTACTGCGCTTACCGATAAGGAGGCCAACGAGCTGGGCAAACTGTTCTCGGAGTGCGACTTTGCCATTAAGGATGCGGAGCAATTCATTGAACAACTGTCCAAAGAGCTGCACGATTTGGATGGCGTAAGTAGCTCTAGCAAGCAATCCACCTCCAATCGAGGCTAATCCTTATTAAATTACCTGCAGGCCAATATGCAAAGTGTGCTGGCCTCGGAGCAAAAGGTGCTTAAAATGATGGAGCACATAGACAATGCTATAACCGAGGCGGATAAGTTTGAAACGCGCCTGGATACCTATGAGGACATACTGGGCCACGTCAAGGAGACCATGGAGAAAATAGGCGGCAAGAATGCCATGATCGAAATTGCCAACAACAACAATATCAAATTAATGAAAGAGCTTAACAAAGTTATTGTATGTGTGAAAAGTATTTACCAAGGTTACGTATTAAACTGAACTGTTGCTTTTCAGAGCCAACTGGACTTGCCGCACAGCCAACAGCAGGCGTTGGATGAGCCCGATCTGAAAACCGCAGCCGGACGCAAGGCAGCCATTGCGGCAGCACAGTGTCTCCAGCAGGCCATGAATAGCGACATTGATCCTGCGCTGCTGCGCCTGGAAGCCGTGCAGGATCAGCGCAAGCGTTTCGAGAAGTGGAAACAAAAGTTTTCGGCCACTGTTAGCCGCTTCATGAACAACCTCTTCATACATCTGGGCAACGAAATTGGCGACATGCCGGTCACCAGCACCGAACTGACGCTGCCCAATCACTCCAACGTGCACCGCGAGCTAACGCCGTACACGGAGCTGATGCACTGGTCAAAGGCTATGGATCGTAAGACCTACGACGGTCTGATGCGTGTCTACACGGCATCGCTGAGCAAGATCTATGATCGCGATGTCAGGAACTTCTTTAACCTGGTAAGAATTTAACTTCAACCCCGAAAAACATGAATTTAAAATGTCTTCCCGTTTCAGGCCAAGATGCAGGTGTCCGACAAGCTGCGCAGCTCACGTGAAGATCTGGACATGTCCACCTCGTCGCGAAAGTCTGCCGTCTCAACAATTCCCTATGGCACGCTGGGCATTAATCGCGATCAATGGGGACCCGGTGTGGATAGTGCAGATCGTGTGCGTTTCGATGCGCTGCTGGAGAAGGTGCTAGCCGAACTGGAACCGATTGCCTTGCAGGAACAATTGTTCTGCATCAACTTCTTTCAAATGGATGTGATAAGTCCCACAACAAAGAACACACAAACGACGCTGGACATGGAGAAGGACAAGGGCATGGAAATGTCGCAGTCGTTTAACGCCTCAACTGCCTCACCCACCAGCACGAGCACAGACGCTGGTGGAGTCCCACAAAAGCGCATTGATCGCCAAATCAATGAGGATGTGCGCAAGCTAATGATGGGACTCTTTGGCTGTCTGGAGCCCGAGCTGGTTAGCTTCATACAGAGCTTTGAGCGTGTGGATAGCTTGTAAGGCACAAATAGGATATGTGTATCCAGCATACAACTAATCGACCCTCTTTCCCTAGCTATTCTCTCTATGTGCTGGTGCGTCTGACGCAGCATGTCATGTCCGCCCAGGACACACATTCCTTTCTCAGCATGACCTTCGCCTCGGCCTTGGTGCAGGTCAAGCGCAACTTTGATCGCTTCATGCAGCAGCAGCTGCAGTCCATAAAGGAGGCTAAGCTTCCCAAGCGTTCAAAGGCCATTTTGCCGTATGTGGAGAACTTTGAGAACTTTGCACAGACGGCGGAGGGCATCTTCCGCAAGTCGGATCGCCGCACCGATATGGAGAAATGGTACCTGCAGCTGGTCAATGCGATATTCGAAGGCATCAGCATACACTCGCAGGAGCATCCAAAGACGCCATCGCAGGTGGTACGCATGGAGAACTACCATCATATGTACGCTCTGCTGGCACAGCTTAAGGTGCCCGGCCTTGATGCGCTCAAGAAGGAGGCCAAACTACGCTACAACGATGCACTCAAGGCATATGTGACGCAGTACTTCGGCAGGCCGCTGGAGAAGCTAAACGTAAGTGTTTGTCGCAGTGGATACTTTAATTTTTCCTACTAATTCCTTATATGCACATTCCAGCAATTCTTTGAAGGCGTGCAGCAAAAAGTGGCGCAGGGCGTCAAGGAGACCGAAATTAGCTACCAAATGGCCTTCTCCAAGCAGGAGCTGCGCAAGGTGATCAGCCAGTATCCGGCGCGCGAGGTCAAAAAGGGCCTGGAGAACCTCTACAAGAAGGTGGACAAGCATCTGTGCGAGGAGGAGAATCTGCTGCAGGTGGTGTGGCATGCCATGCAGGAGGAGTTCATAGCCCAGTACAATTATCTCGAGGAGCGCATACAGAAATGCTATGCGGGCGCCATGATCAATCTAGAGTTCAACATACAGGACATACTCGCCTTCTTCTCCGACATTGCGCGCTCCCACTGAGCGCGCGCTGCTCGGGAGTTTTACTTTTAAGTGCAATAGTATTTAAAGCGATGTGTTTTTTTAAGTCAAAAATATACGCGCACATAATTAAACAGCTGACTCTTCAAGAGTGAAAGAGAAAGAGAGAGGGAGAGAGTGAGCTGTAGATGGAGAGCCAGATGAAACGAGAGCTCTGGGAGAGAGCGCCACATAACAGTTGACGCTTGTTCTGAGACCAGCTTTTTCGCATCAGTCAATTTGCGCGCCTCGTTCCGTGCGGTTGCATAGTCAGCGCTTCGTTTCTCAGCGGGTTTTTTTTTAACAGTTCGCTTTTTGGTTAGACAACTCTTCGGTCTACGCTCGTTGCGTTTGCGTGTGTGTGCGTTTTGTGATATGCAAATGATAATTGAAAAAGCCGCAACTATCGCACATAAATTGGCAGCAAACGCGGTGCATATACTTATTGGCCGACTGTGACTGGTTCTAGAGTGCCCTACAGGCTACTTGGCCTACACTCGCGATCCTTTACGTTTGCCCGTTGCCCTATAGCAGGCGGCGCAGGCGTTGCCTGATCGCGGTCTCCCGACACACAACTCCAAAGTAAGCGACCAGTTCGACAAGTTTTTTGTTGCCTTTGCATTTTTTATGCATACGCTTGCTTCTTTTATTTTATTTATTTCTTGTGTGTGTTCCTGTTCTTTATTTTTCGTTTGCATACAAATGCACGCAGACAGCAGCAACAACAACGTCATAGTACGAGTATTTCCTCTCCTTTCTATGCCTCTGCCGTTCCTCAGGCTTCGTTTGTTCTGGCGGTCATCCGTTGTTGTTGTTGTTGTTGCTGCTGCTGCTGTTACTCTTGTTGTTGTTGTTGTTGTTGTTGTTGTTGCTGTATTTTAAGTTTTGCTAAAAGCTGGCCACCTTGATAAGCCGCTGGCAGGTCCAACTTAGCAATTGGCCGCACAGACTAGCCAAGTTCAATGCTATTGCAATGCATTTTCCACTTCCGCTATGCGCCCGCGGGTCAATAAACATTAATTAGTTGCTTAGCACGAAAAAAAAAGAACGCGCATAAGACTTGGACATGGTTTAAATGTGTGTGTCTGTGTGTGTGTGTGTTACACAGTAAAACTCACAAATAAAAGCTTTAAGGTTATGTGTCATAAAAGTGCATGCGCCTTCACAATAAATGGGATTTATATAGTCAATCTACAGTTTTGAGGAATTGTTAAAATTCAATCAATTTTTGTTTAAATTATTATAAAAAAAAAAAAACATAATTTATCATGTGCAAACTGTACAAGGATACATGTTTAGCAAAATACAGAGATCGGTCGTATTTAAAACCTTCCACAAATACTTGTTTTTGCTATTAGAAACTTGAATCGGATTTGTAATGCACTCGATGCCTACTTTAATGAGTCCTTAATATTCGCCAATAGAATTCATTATATTTAAATCTAAATAATGCAGGTCTGACTTGCTTAAATGTTGCATATTCTTAATTAAATGAACATATTTATATATGCACTTACCCAATAATAATTAGTAGAAAGGAGACAGTCTTCAATTCTGAAAAAAAAAAATTGTCAGTTACAGTTAGAATATGATATATGATTATGAATAACATATTCAAAGCATGAAGTCGTTTGTGTGAACGTATATACATACATATAAACACAAAAGCACATATGCATAAATACATATATGCATTACATACATACATGTATATATACACACACACACACATTATCATACACACATACTTTCATACATAACTACAAACATAACGACATACATACATTCACATCTACATACACTTAAACACACATACATACATACATGCATACATGCTTACATACTAGTCACAACTTCACAATATCGCTATCACTTAAAAAAACACTGTATCAAAGCATGAAACCTTCAGGACTTACTAGAATTCATGAGAATCGCAGAGTAGAGCAGTATGTAAAAATACGTTTTATTTAAATAGCAGCGCAGCGGTCTGATTAGTTTGTCTGCGATTTGTATGAGATATTACACATATATACGAGTGTGCATGCATACCGACATACATACACACACACAACCTTACGTACATGCATACATACATACACACATGCATTTAAACATATATAAAAACAAGTGAAGGCATACATAAATATAATCATACATCCATAAATATATGCATGCTAACATGCACACATGTGTACATGCATCCATATGTACATGCATACATATACATGCGTACATGCAAACATACACCTACACAAATGTACATGCGTACATACTGCAACACATATACTTATACTTGTGCATATAATCTCATTAAGTTTTTTAATACATATTACACTTGACTTGGTCTTCATTTGGCTAAGGATAACATGCATGCATATATCTTTACACATTTGTGTATGCATGTACATACATGCAAGCATGTATACATGTATATGTATATATCTACGTGCACACAAAGTGTAGTGTGTCAGTGGCAAATTCTTATCATCATCATCTTTCCGTTTAATTTAAAATTGTAACCTTCCCCTTTCGAATCTCCACTGTACGCCTTTTAAGATCTATGGGTTTTGAAAATCCTTCCTTATGTGTATATTATAGCCCAACAAAATTATCAAGAAGCATAAAAATATGTGTTAAACTATCATGAAATTAACTTTATATAATTATTTTATTACATTTTAGTTCGAATAAGAAGCAAAACACTTTAAGATAAATGTAAGCAAAGTATTTGCACATTTTTTCAGCTGCCGATAAAACTGTGTGTGTAATTTCATCCGTTCTATTAACCGTGACAAATTGAAGGTTGTGCATTTACTTATTTACAAAATGTATTTAATTTGTTAGATTTTTGTGCAAAGTGTTGTTATCGCTAATGCACAATATTTACTTTTGCTTTTCTCTTCCGATCAAGTGTGTATATTATTTGTGTTTGCCCAACGATAAAGGAAACGCCAAAAGGCTGTGCAATATCCGCTGTGAATTCTCCATAGACTGTGTCGTCGCGTCGTTCGTAATGCATATTTGTAGAGGGCTGTCAGAGCCGCTATTTCAGATATTGCATTGCCAAGAATAGACGAACCCGAGTTTTGCCCATGGCAACTGGTAACTGGTAACCGGTGGGGCAACCTCTCTGGGGGCCATTAGTGGGCTTCGTGGGCTTCAACTGAGTCATGAGCGCTCTTCAGACACTTTTCTTTCAGCCTTTTGTTTTGCACTTTATGGCAACTGCTGGCCAAAGAACTTGGTATGAAGTTAACTTTGAGTTTAGCCCAGAAGCAAAATATGGCACTTATTTCTTGTTCAGCTTTTCTATACACTTGCCGTGGGCATGTACAACTATGTCAAGATGTTTGTGAAGCAACTCTTGCAACGTAATAGGTTGATAATCTAAGCCTCTTGCATTTAGAGTAAGAATTTAATACCTCCGTCGCGGGTATCAAAATTGAGTCATGGAATGTGTAAACCCATTTATTCATGAAAATTATGTGATTCATATAAATTCTTGATCGGTATAAACAGCCAAAATAACCCTGTTCGTTTCTATACGGATTAGTCATTCAGTTGTAAGGCTATCTTCATGAAATTTTAGACAAATCCTTATTTTTGTTGCAGGCATTTCATATGTAGGAATCGTTCGATCGGTCCATAGGAAGATCGGTTAAAAACTAGGTTATTATTATAGGAAAAACTTTATTATTTTTTAAGATATTTTGACTCTTTAAATATTATTTTTAATATGCTCTTTATATATAGGATCAGACTACTATATCATTTAGATGCTAACGGAACAATTGGTCAAAAATCATTCTTCTATATCATATAGTTGTAGTGTATTTGCATTTCGTTGTGACTTATGTGCTGAACATTTCTTTCTTCTTTTGTTATGCATATATAAATGAACTTCTTTTTGCATTTGGCAATGCAACTGTTTGCTGGGCGGGCGGTATTTCCATTTCCATTCCCATTTGCCATTTTCAGTGGGCCGCTGCACTGTTTTTGTTGCATATGAAAGCAAGTGACCGCTATTTGAAAGACTCTTTTTTTTTTGTACAGACTAGACTAATTAAAAGTGGTTGTTTTGTGTCTGCCATTTGCCTTGGTCAGCTAAAATCACAGCGCAAAGTTCTTGGGCTCCAATCGCTGACCAGCTCTAAATTTATGTAGCTTCAGCTGATCGCAGTACAACTAGTTCGGCGTCGACATACGTGACACTACAAGTTTTTAACATATTTTGGATTTGGTAATCAAAAAGCAAACCCCAAAGCGTATGCAGTGCAAAGTGTGCCATGTGTGGGCAAACACAAACAGTATTATATGGTTTGCTTGCTGGGTTTATTATGCAGTGGAAATGTGCAGTGCACATTGTTTGAAACAATGGCGTTATACGATAATAGAAATTAAGCGGGTTGCATGTCAGCTGCTGAGAAAATGAAGTCACTCCAAAGACCCACAAAAATAAATATACAAAAAAAATAAAAATTAAAAAAAAGCAAGCGAGAAAAGTTACGGCAAGTGCTAACTAACTAAATATATGCACATGGGCTTATACATAATACTGCTTACACAGCGTCTGGGGCAGTGAATCTTATTGTTGTGTTCTCAAAATGCCAGCCATGTGAATAACCACAATCACAACAACAACAACAACAATAACAGAAACAACTAACACTAGTCAAAGTGCATTAATCACAGCCCATACAAAGGCAGCCAGTGCTGAAGGGCCGACTCGTGTTTCCAGACAAACTCTAGCTATGGGTGTTAATGCTTCGAGCCAAAAGTAGCCTGAAAGTAACTCGAAAAAGTGGTAGTTGTTGTTGGCGACCATTTATGGTGTCAGTAAGGTAAGGTACACTGCAGCAAATAATGGTCTTGATAATGATAATGATGCCCCTCTTTGGCTGGCTGCCTCGCACAGCACGGCACAGAACCTCGCACAGCCCTGAATGTGGTGCAATTTGGTTGCCGGTTCTGTGCCTCTGGCTCTCTATATATGGAGCTCAAGTTCTTTGCCATGGCCAGACTGTTGCTAGAAAGTGGCCAAAAAGGCAATTGAAGAACAAAGCAAAACAAAACAAAGCAGAAAAAAAATAAGAGC